TCTAGTGGTCTGGCCGCATATTAATTTGGATTGTCACAAGGCTACATATACCCTGCGTTTACAAAAGACAGGGGAATAGAGTTCATGTATTGTCCAAATATCAAAAATTGTCTTTTTGTACCTTATTAATTAAGCCATGGTAGAATTAATAAGGTACTGCCATGCAATCATATGTTTACAATTTTTTTCAAAATTATTCATTTGGCAACATCTCATTGTCAAAATGTATATTTATGAATCCATTGAAATGGAAACCTGTTTTTAACGCAGTAAATTTTGAAAAGGTAAATTACAGAATATGCTTTTTTGAAATGACTATACCATCTTAATTTTACCATGCTTAGGCGTTCCACAAAACCAATTGCTAACTGTGGGAATACATAAAGTACTTATTTGGCTGGCTTAAGTCATCAGCTGGCTTCTTCGTAGAGGAACAAAGGAGTTTTAGGTTAACTTAGTTCGATTTTGGTCCTAGACGCCTTTTCCATTTCCGAAGATGTCAGCCGATGATTTAAGCCAGCCAAATAAGCGCTTTATGTATTCCCAACTTAAATCATAAATGTAAAGCTTATGTTTTTGTATATTTTCTGTTTTCACATTCGTTTGCTTACATTGTTTTTTTCCACTGGATTTCAGTTGTCAATTCCATTGTGAATGGGTCAAATCTGATGGATCTATTCATGGATTTAAGATTTCATCATTGTGTAAAACATTTAAAGGGTGGAGTATTACGGTGAGAATACATAAAACGCTTCTCTGGCTGGCTTAAATCATCGGCTGGCTTCTTCTGAGAGAAACAAAGGCTGACTTAGTTCGATTTTGGCCCTTCTTTTCCAATGAAGCCCGCCGATGACTTAAGCCAGTGAAAAAAGCTCTTTATGTGCTTGCACCTTTAGGTTTCAAACCATCCTAATTTTTTTTTATTTTACCTTTCTCCACCTAAATATACAATTAATTCTTATTATTACATTTATTTTCAAAATTCTTAACAACTTTTGTTGCCGTAAGACTGCTTTATATAACAAAAAATGCCACATCCGACATTATATACACCACATATATATATACGATATGTAAATTAGTTTATACAAACAAAAACATATACAAAATTTCAAAACATAAAATTATAAAAGAAAACTAGTTAATAATTAAAAAAAAACAAACAATAAAAAAATATTGGAAAAGAAAACTAATCAGTTTAGCAATAAAAAGGCCTTCAAATTGAAAAAAAAATTAAGAAAAAGTGAAGTGAACTTAGAAAGTGAGAAACAAATTGGAATGAAATTACATTGTAAGTTATATACAAAATGAATAAAAAAAGAAACAACTAAAATAATGTCATAAGAATTATAGAGTGTGACTGTTGGTAAAGGATAAAAAAAAGCGTATTGAAAACAATAAATTAGAAAACAACAAATTAAGGAATCTAGTTATAAGAAGACTAAAATTAAAAACAAAATTTTAATGTTATAAAAAATTGTTTTTTTATTTATTCTTTGTTCTCTTTCTGATTATTTTTTAGAGGAAATTCATTTACTAGCTACCATGTTAGAAGAATTCAGGTAGATGCATCAACGCTTGGGAACATTAATATGTCAAAATTTTTAAAGTGTTTTGCCAAAATTAAGTAGATTTTTATATGCTTTCTTATACGACGCAATTTGGAGATTGTATGATATGCATTTTTTTTAACAATTTTTATAAATTTCAAAAAAAGTTCATTCAACACTTTCAATTCCAAAATCGGTTTGACAGTTCATTGTTCCAGCAGCTGTGTCGATAGGACTATCTGTATTCTTCTACCATGGTGTGTACTCTACTTCAGTGCGTTCATATTTGCTAAAACGGAAAAAAGTAACATGGCCACACATTCAATTCTATTGAGATATTCCCAATAGCTTTTGATTGCATTTCTTAAAATCCGAGACCTCAACCGTCTATTTAGTATGAAAATATAAGCCAAATAATTTCTGATAACTATTACTTCAGTGGTAATATGTGCTTTCGCCTACATGTCTAAATACCCTTGGTAGAATTAAGAAGGTAAAGTCATGCAAACATATGTTTACATTTTTTTCAAAATTATTCGTTTGACAACGTATCCTTGTCAAAACATATATTTGTAAATCCATTGTAATTACACAAATCAGAAATTAAAATTTGGCTTGCTTCTTGGTATACGAACAAAGGAGTTTTAGGTTGACTTAGTTCGATTTTGGCACTACGCTCCTTTCTTTGTTCATTTCCGAAGAAGCCAGCCGATAACGTAAGCAAGCCAGATGAGCGTTTTATGTATTCCGACCTTTATATTTATGCAGTGAAATATGAATTTGGCAAATTACAGAAAATGCAAAGATGGGAATGCTTATTTGAAATGCCTTTACCTTCTTAATTTTACCACGCAAGTACAAAGCCATTTTTTAAACAACATTTGCATTTTCAATGTTAGCAGGTGTCAATGTAAACACGGCTTATGAATTCCATGGATGAAATTTAAATATCAAACTAGCTAATGGACACCCTTAAGGTGAGAATACATAAAAAGCTTTTTTGACTGGCTTTAGGCTGTCTTCTTGGGAAAAGACCAAAGGAGCGTGGGGGACAAAATCGAACTAAGTCAACCTAAAACTCCTTTATTCCTCTACAAAGAAGCCAGCCGACGACTTCAGCCAGTCAAAAAAGCGTTTTATGTATTCCCACCTTTAAAATGGATTGTGCCTGGCCTTCGGATAAGAGGATATTCCACTTTTATAGTTATTTTTTTATTAATTTTATTATTATGAAAACATTACTTATAGATAAAATAACAAATAAATCTCATGAAAAATAATATTCATATAAAAATTGAAATAATAAAAACAAAATATCATGACTGAAATGTTTCGAAACGAAAGACATTTTTTTCCAAACAGAAAGGGATTTTGTGAAAATTCACCAGGGATATTTTCAAGACATGAAAAAAGAAAATTGCAATAATTTCAGAACAATACTAACATATGAATGAAGATAATCGAAATATCGTATATGGCACATCAATGAAAAAATTAAAAACAAAAACAACATCAAACCTATGTTGAAACGAATAAATTCAATACAACAGAATATGTTGAGTTACATAAGATTCATATATCAAAAAAAAAAAAAAAAAAAAAAAGGAAAATGATATTAATTAAATATAGGTTTACACATACATACACATTTAATTAAAGGAAAAAAACTACAACTACAACAAAAACAAATGTTTCAATTAAGTTGTAATCATAAGTGCTTTCATGGAAATGTGAAATATTAAACAAAAGAAAACAAGTCTAGTATAAGAAGTGCTTAAATTAAAATTAACTCAATAAAAACAAAGAAGAATAAATTGTGAAGAAACAAATGAGGGTGTGTTTTATTCCATAATTCAATGGCTTTTGGGTCACAGCATGAGGTAAGCACGTAGCCCATGGTCACGTAGCCCATGGTCTATGATAGGTTGGCTAGAAATTATAGGAAATATATTATTTAATAAATATATTATTTTATAAATATTATTTTGTCAGTAAGTCAAAATTATACGTCAAAATGACGTATCTTCGTAAAAGCGTAAACGTATGAATACATAAAATGATTTTCTGCCTGGCTTAAAGGTGAGAATACATAAAACGCTTTGGCTTCTTCGCAAAAAAATGAAAGAAACATAGGGTGGACAAGTATAAATTACGGTCCGAAATTGAACTAGGTCAACCTATTACTCGTTTTTACCATGCTAGAAGAATACAGGTAGTCGCATCGACACAGCTGCTGCGAGAATAAACGGTTAAACCAATTTGGGAAGAGAAAATTTTTAATGAAAAATTATTCAAATTTCTAAAAATTGTTGAAAAATTCATATCATAACAACCTCCGATGTGCGTCGTATAGAAAAACACATACAAATATACTAATTAAAATAAAAAAAACATTTTAAAAATGTTGACATATCAATGTTCCCAAGTTGTTCTACCATGTCTTTTACGTAGAAGCCAGATGATGACTTATGCCAGTCAAAAAAGCTTTCTTAAGTCATGGGCTGGCTTCTTCGTAAAAGAAGGAAAAATCGGAGGGTGAACAAATTAAAATATCGGTCGAAATTAACAAAAGTCAACATAAAACTCCTTTGTTCTCTTACGCTCTAAGCCGATGAGCAAAGCAAAGCTTTCCATGTATCTGCGCCTTAAGTTAAGTGTCGGTAAAAATTAGACTTAACGTATGTTTTCTCTAGTCCATGTGGATATGATCGGAGTGACTTTATTTAATTCCATAATTCAAACTGTCAACCAAAAGTACTTTGTTCTTTAATGGAGAAGCAAGCCGATGTCTTAGAAAAAATCCTCTTAAGTAATCTCCCATTTAAAAATTTAAACCGAAATTAGCTTCTGTTATAGTAGGTTTCTTTCTTTCTTTTCATGGTTAAATTAAGAAGGTAAAGTCATTTCAAATAAGCTTATCCATCTATGCATTTTCTATAATTTAACTTGTCAAACTTAACTGCATAGAAAACAGGTTCCCATCTCTGATTTGTGTATGTATAATGGATTTACAAGTATACATTTTGACAATGGGATGTTGTCAAATTAATAATTTTGAAAAAAAACTTAACATGTAATTGCATTGCTTTGCCTTTTTAATTCTACCATGGTTTCTTTTAACTATTATAAGATTTTCATACAGAAAAGCATACTATTTCTCTGTGTACCTTTTTTTCGTGTATCGGTTACACTACGTTACGTTACGCACTACATAGCGCTTGCAATGGAAAACGGTTATCGGTTGTTCACACATCGGTTTACAGAACCCTAAACACTAGTCACAAGTTGTAAATTAAGAAAAAAAGGATTTTTTAAACAAATTACAAGGAACCTATATTTCCAAAGAAGTTAAAACAAATTGTATATTTTAAAATGTAAGCAATTTTCCTAAAATTAATGAAAAACAATGGAAGAAACATGAAAAAACAAGGCTTAGAATTATTCTGAGATAACTGACAATGAGTTCGTTTGCATGTGTGTGTGTACAAATAAAAAGTCAGGCAAAGCGAGAAAAAAACGTCACAATTAAGCGACCAACAAAAAACAACACACACACAGTCGTCTAGAGCAAAATAGAACAACAACAACTTGTCAAGAGTTACGACAAGCAGCAAAATAATAATAATAAAAAAAAGAAACAACAGCAGATATTAAGAAAAAAGAAACATATTAATTGAATTATAAGCCAAAAATATCATAAATTGTTGATTAAAGCTATTTTTAAAAAAGAAAAGGTAAATATACACTACAACAAGTTCGTTATGCATTTTTAAAGGCGTGGATTTTTGTGGAACAACTGTAATGCCAGAATGTACCAGTTAAGTTTGCACAAAATCAATTTTGCAATTATAGATGCGCATAATTAAGAAAAAGAAACAACATATGTGGTGACATACATTATTGTTTTGCAAAAAAATCGAGAACAAAAACAAATGTCTCAAAGTGCAAAATTGCGATTTGAAGAAGGCCACATCGAAAGACTTCCCAAATACAACGAAAAAATTAAAAGCGGTTAATACATCCAAGGTTTATTGCTGAGTTTCTTTATCTGATCTCGAAACAAGTGTTTGTTTGCTTTTCATTTGTTGTTTAAATAAATTCGAACGAAATTAGCAACCTCCTGCCGTTATTCCCGCCGACCCGGCGGACCATTTTATTTAATCTTCCGTCATTAGCAAACAATCAACAACCATACCACCTGTATTACAATTAATTCATGCGTATGTGTTCTTGTTGTATTTTTGTCTTTGCATTTAAAACCACGTCATTGCACTTTCTATCAATCAAAAGATGAGCTGATTTTATTTTGTTTTGAATTCATGTGAAAATGTCAACTAAATCGTGGATTGAGACATGAATTTCAGGCTGATCACTTTTCAAAGGCTCTATGTGGTATAGGTTGAAACAGATTATATGCATGGCATGTTTTAATTTTTAAATTCCCATTCAGTAATGTAGAATAGAATTCTGCATAATGACTTGTGTTTGTTAATACCACAAAATAAGCCAAAGTCCGCAAAAAGTATTTCGTAAGAAATTTCTGAAAAGAAAAATAATCTTTGTACTGGCAATCGCATAGGTATTGTGTTGGGAAAGATATCGCTTGGCCAGGTCAGCTATTCAATTTCTGATTGCTATTCCGGTTTTCCCCGTGGAAAGTATTTTTGCCATGCCATCGTACGTATTATGTATTTTCTATTATGGAAATTTGCCAGCCAGTTCTAATCGTAAAGCAACACTTCCAAGTTATCTCTTTTTTAATTTATCTAAAATAACTATCGTATTCAGGTTAGTCTAATGGTTATTTTTGTTATTTGGATAAATATTAATGTGGGAAACTTTGATATTAATTTCAAAAGTTTTAGAAATTCACAAAGTAACCGCATATGTATATATTTACAAATAAAAAACGGAACCAAAACCACGAAATTGCCATTTCGAAAGCGAACAATGGTTCAAAGGTTGTTGTAGCTTCACATGATTTGTTTGATTTTGGCTAATCTGGTTCTAGCTCTAGATCCAAGTGTGAGCAACTGAGCCGCACAGTGGTTTGCAGCTCTGATTTGTATCTAAAGTCACACCAATAATTTTGCATTTTACAAAAATGGTTCAATAGTGTATTTTTGAAGATTTTTTTTTCAAAATATTTTTTGAACTTTTGAAGAAGCTGTTTCAATCATCTATAGACCAATAATCGTGTTTTTTTTATTTATTTATTTCCTACCCGCCTTCGGGGCATATCTGATTGCTATCGGAAGCGTCCACAGCTTGCGAATGGTGGAAAGTCCAGTAACTACAGTCTATCAGCGTCAGGGAGAGTCTCAACTTATATACCCGAGTGCCAATGATCCTTTGACTGAAGAGGCGGTGTTTCAGTGTCCCTAAAATAGCCAAAAGTACGTGCTGGTCCCCACATAAAGAGGACGACCTAACGTTGTGTTGTTGTGACACCACGTGCTCATCACTGCTGTAGGTTTGCAATCAGCACACCGACTGTAATCTAACCCAACTTCTACAGGGAAGAACTCTAGGACTTCTATAGAGAATAGACGCCCTCCAGGTCTTCTATAGAAAATAGAGGACCTCCAGGTCCTATAGAAGACATACAAGACCTCAAGGTCTGCTATATAGAATAGAAGACCTCCAGGTCTTCTACTTGGAATAGAGTACCTCCAGGTCTTCTATAGAGAATAGAGGACCTCCAGGTCTTCTATAGGAAGAGATTTCCAGGTCTTCTATAGGAAGAGAATACCCCCAGGTCTTCTATAGGAAGCGATTACCTCCAGGTCATCTATAGGAGAGTATACTTCCAGGTCCTCTATAGAAAGAGAAGACCTCCAGGTCTTCTATAGGAAGAGAAAACCTCGTGGAAATGGTAGAAGCAACATGTCTGGGAGGTGACAATGCTCTGACACTGGACCCAAAAAACGATATTGTAGCTAGATAGAAATCCGACAAATTATTGCGGATATGGAAGAGTTCATGGATACGATGATAATCCATGCCTTGACCTCTATTCAGGGTTTGGCTACCAAGTTAATCGAACTGAATAGTCCCAGCCGTCCCATCATAAATTCGCCGGACAAGCCCAAACTCTCAAGACAGGAGGCAAACGTCATAGAAGAAGGACGGAGCGGGGTCTCCATTGATAGAATTGAAGTGCCGCTGAGCTCTCCCGACACCAAGAGAGCCAAATCCAAAGATAATTTTTTGAATCGTGAATTTTTTTTATTTTTTTCATTTGAATCGGGAATTAAATGCTACCAGTGGTGAGTTGATGCGGGCGGAAAGTCTGGGAGGCGACAGTACTCAAACACTGGACCTTAAAATGACAGTGTAGCCAAACAGCAGATAGCAATCCAATACATTTCTGCAGATATGGGACCGTTAAGGCAGAGTCAGGACAGCATCCTGTAGACTTCTGAGAAACACCACTGTCTGATGAGGAAGAGGTCATGGATACCGTGGTAATCCATGCCTCAACCTTTTTTGATTAGGAAGAGGTCATGGATACCGTGGTAATCCATGCCTCGACCTTTAGTCAGGGTTTGGCTCCCAAGGTAATCGACCTGAGTAGTCCCTGCGGTCCCAATAGTCAAGGTAGTAGGCAATCGAAGTAGAAGAAGGAGATGGCGGGTTCTGCATTGACATAATGGAAGTGCCTCTGAGCTCATCCCGACTCCAAGAGCACCAAATCCAAGGATGATTTTTTGAGTCAACTTTTTTTATTTTTTTTGATTCGGGAATTTTAAAGAATTATTTTTAGAATCACCAAATCACGTTTTTTTAATTTTTTTTTTTTTTGGATCGTGAATTTCATATTTTTTTGGAGTTTCCTTTGATAAAATAGAAGTGTCGGAAGGAGCTCAGCTTCCGACACCAAGATTGCCAAAACGTGAATTTTTTAAATGTTTTATTTGAATCGGGAATTTTTTTTAATTATTTTATGAATCATCAAATCACGTTTCTTTTTAAGTCGTGGGTTTTTAAAATACTTTTTTAAATCGTGAATTTTTTTAATTTTTCTTAGGACCGCGTATTTTTAATTTTTTTTTAAGAATCGTGGATTATCTATAATTAATTTATTTTAAATGTAGGCTTTTTTAAATATTTTTTTTAAACTGTGCACTTTTTTTTTTTCTCTGAAATGGTGTATTTTTAAATATTTTATTTCGTGAATTTTGTTAAATTTATTTTTGAGTAGTGAATTTTTTAACTGTATTTTTCTAAATTTTTGTTTTTGATTAAAAATTTTTATATATTTTTTTTTAATTTTCAGAACTGCTTAAAAATTAAGAATAATGTCTACGGATACACCAATACCATCGGCCCCGGAATTACCCACAACCTCACACATCACCACTACCACCGCCACCTCCAACATCAATACAGCTGAGGGTGATGCATGGAATGCAGCCTTTAATGAGAACAATGTGTCAGCAACTGAGGTCACAACCACTACAACGGCGTCCTCTGACAATAACACACCAACAAGTTGTATAACGAATGACACCAACACCAACACAAATGATACTACAACACCGAACATTAATGAAAAATTCGCTGCAACACCCTCATCAACGGCCTATTCATTTGCGGGCAGTGCATTGAACAGTGATAATGTTAAGGATAAAATAGGAAGTACGACAGGTGATAGCAGTGCTGCTGGCGGCGGCGGCGGTGATAAAAAGGAAGAAGAAAAAGTGGAAGAATCAATGTTTGAATGTAACATCTGCTTGGATACGGCCAAGGATGCTGTGGTCAGTATGTGCGGTCATTTGTTCTGTTGGCCCTGCTTGCATCAGTGGCTGGAGACTAGGCCCAATCGTAAGCTATGTCCTGTGTGTAAGGCGGCCATTGGCAAGGATAAAGTCATACCATTGTATGGGCGCAATAGTACCAAACAAGAGGATCCACGGTAGGTTTTCAATTTAATGGTTTGAAGCAATAATTAATGTTGAATTTTCCTTTTTTTGTGGCAGTAACAAAGTACCACCCCGCCCTGCTGGCCAGCGAACTGAACCAGAGCCCCAACAAGGTTTCCAGGGTTTCAGTTTTGCCGATGGTTTCCACATGTCCTTTGGAATTGGTGCATTTCCCTTTGGCTATTTCACCTCGTCTCTGAATTTTGGTGAACCCAGACCAGCAGGTATGTTTTGAAAGTACAGGGTGAGAACTGCAACAAATTCAAACGCCATAATTTTTACATTTTTTCCTAACTTTTATTGAATGAAAGCAAAAATGTCGGAAATAGCATCAAATTTTAGAATATGTTCAGATTTGTTAGAATTGGTCACCTTTGGCACGAATTATGGCCAATGAAACACGTCACATGCTGCCTGAATGTTGCTCTGCAGTATTTTGGCCCATACCCGGCGAAACGCTTGCTTGAGGTGATCGACACTTTGGTATTTTTTAGTGCTAACCTAGCATTCCAAAATATTCCAAACACAATAGGATTGGTATCCCAAGATTTTGGTGGCCATTGTGCCCTGGAAATGAAGCGAGAAACCTCATTTTGTAACCATTCTTGGGTGGCGCATGCTGAGTGCGATAGTGCTGCTGAGTCCTGTTGGAATGTCCAAGGTCTGCGGCCAAAATGTTTGTGTGCCCAAGGCTTTAATACACCCTCCAGAAATTTTTCGCGATAATATTCGCCATTTATTCTGATTCCACGGTCGACTAATACGCTCAGGGCGCCTCAACGAATGTCAGATTTAGATACCGAGTCCTTGCCATGGTATGAAGGCTATGCCATGGTCGACTTTAGTCCATTCACGACGACGATGACGTATGGAAGAAGAAACACCCAACTCCCCTTCGGCTGATGGTGGTGAGGATGACATGGTAATCCTAAGCCAAGAAATGACCTCAAGATCGGACCCGGACAGTGATTTAGGATCTGTTCTACTGCCAGTAGTTGGACGGATCAGGTATAAAGTCTGGGAAGTGTAGTCAGACAGCAGATAGGAATCCGACAAATTATTGCGGATATGAAACCGCTAAAACTGAGTCAGGGTAGCATCCCTGTAGACTCATTTTGTAACCATTCTTGGGTGGCGCGTGCTGAGTGCGATGGTGCTGCTAAGTCCGGTTGGAATGTCCAAGGTCTGCGGCCAAAATGTTTGCCTTAATCACCCTCCACAATATTTTCGCGATAATATTCGGCATTTATTCTGATGTCACGGTCGGTTAATACGAGCGGGGAGCTACCATCGGCTGATATGGCGGCCCACACCATCACCGTGACCGGCGCTTGAGTTCTCGTGGCCAACCGAAGTTGCACATTTTCAGCTGACCTCTTTGGCAAATAAATACCCGATAATTTTGTTTGTTTACAAACTGCTGGACAACGAATGTTTTCTCATCGGAGAAAATCAAATTCGGCAGTTCACCACTTTCGACCAAGCGAAGCAACTCTATCTCTTTTGAGTCTATTTTCTTTCTGATGCGGTGTTAGTTCTTGCAGTTTTTGGAATTTTAAATGGTTTTACCCCAAATTCGGTAGTTCACCACTTTCGGCCAAGCGAAGCAACTCTTTAGCTCTTTTGAGTCTATTTTCTTTCTATTGCGGTGTAAGTTCTTGCACTTTTCGGAATTTCAATGGCTTTACCCTGAGCTCATTTTTCAATATTTGCTGAATGGAATATTGCGATGCGACATGTTCAGCTCACGAGCCATTTTCGGCCACTGCGACGCAGGGTTTCGATCAAGTCTTTTCGAACCATTTCTGCTGAACATCAGTTTTCTTCCGTCCACTTCCTTGACGTCGGGCTACGCAACCAGTACCACGGTAACGAGCGATGGTACGAGACACAAAATATCTATTCACATTTAAACGCTGGAGTGCTCTAACGATAGCCACTTGCCTGGTTTTCCAGCCAAATATAAAGAAATGACACTATCACGCTTGAATTCCATCACGAATAACTTTTCAGCAAAATGCTTGGGTACGCTTTTAAACGATATAATGAGCTGTCACTGGAATAATTGTAGGAGCTGTCGGACAAGTGGCTTAGGAATTCCGGTAGTCTGAAGTTGTTTGAAGTTTTTTTATCTCACCCTGTAAATCTAGTATTATTTTGGAATTTTAATTAACATTTTTTTTTCATTTTCTAGCTGCCAATCGTGGTACAACCCAATACGAAGATGAACAACAGCTATCGAAATTATTTTTATATTTGGCGTTTCTGTGCATTGCCTGGTTATTGTTCGCATAGCCAAATATTGAAAATCGGTATTATTGAGACAAGAAAAAGCCACCACAAAGTAAAAAACAAAAAATGTGCAAAGAAAAACGATACTGCTATTCTATAAAGAAAACATCACACATTTATTCTAGCTATTATTATTATTATTAGACCTAACGAATTGTGTGGTATATACTAAATTATTCTATTCTCCATGTTGTTATAACTTCTTTCCAGGTTCATTTTTGTACCAAAATTTTTTATTATTATTATTGTTGTGTGTGTGAAAAATTCCTAAGAATGGACTTTTTATTTTACGAAATTCGTTTAGGTTTTTTTTTTGTACTTTTGAAATGAGCTGATACCCATATCAGAAGAAGTACAATGGAGCTGTTTTCTTATGGCAATACAAAAAGGGAGAAGTTTAAAGAAAAACTCAATTTCAAATTAGGTTTTCAATTTGTTTAGAAAACCAAACTGGGAATCTTATTTTCTTTTGTATCGACATAAAGAAACCGGTCCAAAAATAGATATCTTTCTGAGTAATTACGGCGTGATATTTTTCCATTCTAGTTTTTCTCTATTCTTCTTTAAAAAAATACTGCGCTTCAAAGGCAATTTTATGCAAAATATGTACCTACTTTTTCCATCTTTTTTTTAATTTTGCTTTACTTTACGTTTTTAAACAATACCATTTGCGGTGTTTGTCTTGTAATTTGTATTGTTTTTTTTTAAGAAATATTCGTATAATTATGTATACCGGTTGTTTATCCTAAATGAAATATATTCAATAAAGACATAAAAGTAATGAAGTAAAAAGGTGTGTTTTATATAAAAGACAAGTTATGTATTCAATAAAATATACAATATTAAATTAATTAAATTTAGAAACTATGGAACCAAATTTGTGAAACAATCCGAGTCTGGATTTCTTTCAATAATTTTAACATTTTACAAAACTTTTTATATCCGTGTTGGTGACATGTGTCGAGTTCTTCGGGTCCTACGGCGACGGCGACTGCTTTCTGGAGCCTGACGCCTGCTCCTTGCAGACCTGCGTCGACGGCTACGGGTAACAGGGCGTCTTCCACTTGATGTGGCCTTACGACGACGTGACATGGCTGCACTTTGAATCAATTCCGTTCCATTCCCATTCGCCCACTAGATAAACAAACAACGATTTCATTTCGATTTACTTTATATAAACCAAACTAAAAAATTACCCACCCTTTTTGGTTGTGCAGCTTTTCTACGCCTTGTTGTGGGAGCCACAACGTCATCCTGACTATTCTCTTCATACACCGCCTCGTCTCCGTCATTAGCAGCATTATTACGTGACGTATTTTGTGATCTTAATTCTGGCGATAGAACATAATCGCCATGCTTGCGAAAATTAAAAGGCATTCTTATGGTGGTGTTATCATCGGTCATCGTTAATATACCCAAACTTTGGCCAACTTCTAAGGCCTCTTTTAAAGACTTGCGTATGCTGCGAGGAGATTGGTCATCGGAACCATCATCGAGATAATCTTCCAAATCAAGAGCCAAATTTTCGACAGTTTCACCTTAAATCATTAAAAACTTTAATATAATGGAGATATGTCTAACATAAAATATCTACAAAAATTTGGCCTGGTCGACAGTGCTTCCAAAATACGTGGTAATATTATTGATTTTGTATCTTCCATTTTGAAAAATTATACAAAAGAAAAAACGGGTTTCTGCTAGAAAAATATATTGGAAATGTAATTGATTTGACGTAGAATGCAAAGTTAAAATAATATTAGTTTCATTCTTTAAAAATATTTTTTCCAGCTAAGTATCATCAGAATCGTTTTCGTGACCCAGAATTTAAAGTTTAGATTTCCGTCAACAAACCAGTTTCCATTTCAATAGTTTTCCACGATTTTAAAATCTTTAGAACCAAATTGTTGTACAGTATGTAATGTTTTTCTTTAAACGAAAAACGCTAAGTTGTCATTACTGAAGCGTTATCTGTTTGGGCTATCAACTTACTTGGAATATGGTTTTTGAACGACATTAAGAAGAAACTTCATATTTAATTTTAAATTTTTATTGTTATTTTCCCATGCTTTTTTAATTCCAGAACTAATAAATGAGAGAAATGTCTAATTTTATGCTAGCTTTGTTCTACCTTCTTTAATTGTGCCATATAAGAAGCTTAAAGTCATAACTGAGCATGTTTTGTGACATTTGTGTGTTTCTGCAAAAAACGAAAAAAGAGATCAAAAAAGAGAGAGAGAGAGAAAGTCTGCTTTCAATTCGTTTAAAATTTTATTGATTTTATATTCTTTTAAATGATAAAACTATGCAATTAAATTTTATTATTATACATGTACGTTCTGGGCTAATTCTTTGCTATCATTTCACTTGGAATGTAATTTCCTTCCAAAGAGACCACGATAAAAAGAAGCATTGTATATTCTCTTGCACTCTTCTTCCTTGCTTTTGGCCCCGTAATTCTAATTCAATTTCTTATATAATTCTCAAAAATAGAAATTTATCAAATAAATAAAATGGAATTACCGCTGTTTTAATATACTGCGATAAGAAGAAGCATACCTCAGGCTATTATTTCACTTGGCATGTAATCTTTTCTCTAAAAATCCCTCGGTAAAAAGAAGCATTTTATCACTTTTTCCTTCTTCCTTTATCCCCATCATTCTAAACAAAACATCTTTTTCTTCTTTCTTCTTTTAAGATTGTGAAATTTGGTCGAATTCCATATATAAATTTGGTCGAATTCTATAGGAGCTATGGCAGTCGCTTATCAACCTTTGTTGACACTAGACTTTTTCGCGCTGGTCGCTTTTTTTCTTTACAAACAAACACAACAACAACAAATCAACACAAAATCAAAACACAAACAAACCTCCATTTTTTTCTTTTATCTTGGTTAAAAATAATTTTTGTGAAATTTTTGCCAAGTTTTTTTATTTAAACAATTATGGAGGGAGTCGGAGACCCCCCTCCTCCACCTGTTCCCCCGCCACCTATTGGGGATACCAATAAAAGAAGAGCCAAAAACATTGAAAATGATAATAAAAGTTTTTTTTTTTTTTTTTTTTGGACTGTCAAGCGAGCTCTCCTATGTTGAAGAGAGCGTTGGCGATCCTCAGGATACAAAAAGCCAGGTTGTACTCCAAATTAAGGTAAATTTGTAGAAAGTCACCTCAAGTCCAATAAGTTTATTTTTCAAAATGATTTGCCAAATTACTCCACTCCAAAGAGTTTATTTTCCAAACTGGTTGGTCACTAGTGAAATCGATTACAATCCAATCAGCGTTTATCCCAACATGGATTGCAAAGTCCAGTCCAATGCTTTTATTTTCCAAAATGGTTGGCCACTCTTGAAAACGATTACAGACCAATGAGCGTTTGTTACAAAATGGATTGCCAATATAAATTTTCCGATTACTGCAAATACAGTATAAAAATGGTGTAAAAAGAAAACGATAGTACATAAGTACAAATGTCGAATTGTAGTTCAATTTTGTTTGCTTATTTGATATTGTAATATTAATATGAAAAGGTTTTTAACTCACGACACCTGGTTGAGAGGTAGTTTTACTTGCGTGACAGATGCAGGACACCACAGACGTAAAAAGACAAAATGTGCCCATTCAGCAGCTATGAAGTCCAAGCGATCAGGAATATCCCAATTGTGAGTCCAGTTGTGTTCCAAAGGTTAGAATACCTGTCTGCAAATTGCATAAGGAAAATAAAGGGCCAAAAGTGGGGAATGGGATGGGATAATATCAATTAGTCAACATCCATTAAAAATAAGAAAGAAAAAAAAAAGAAGGAAAAAAAAAAAACAAAACTTAAAACTAATATCACAGCTTTGTTTATCACAGGTGATAGAAAGTGTTCATAAACTGATTTTGGTTTCTTTCAGGAACATTAGGAGAAGGTTGTATAGGTTGTGGTCTTTGGATTGCAGTAAAGGGATTAGTCCATGGTATTTAGGGAACAGGAGGGGATATTTTTTCCTTATGTTGTTGAATCTTACGCAATCAAAAATCAAGTGGTGAGCGGTTTCCAGCACTGCGCATGTCTCGCACAAATTCGAGTCTGCAGCTCCTATCCGGTGTAAATACTTTTTGTCACTGGTATGGCCGGTAATCAGTCTGTTTATTAGCTTAGTATTGCTAGGCTCAAAAATCATTTTTGAAAACCATGGCTTTTCATATATGTTGTTTATAATCTGAAAGAAGTGACTGCCTTTTGATTCGGATAGTCTTATAAATTCTTCATTCCAGTCGTCTTTCACCAGATTTTCGATTCTGGAATACGCCTCTTCAGGTGTTAAAAATACATCTACAGGAGCACCAACTAGAGAGGCCTGTTTGGCTAGCAAGTCAACCTCCTCGTTGATTCTAATGCCTCTGTGCGCAGGGATCCAGACAATGTGACATTTTTCAATAGAGGATCTTTCCAAAATATTGTGACATTCAGCAACCAGATAATTTGTCGAATCAGCTGAATTTAAAGCCTTGCACGCTGTAAGGCTATCTGTGAAAATAACACATCTGTTATAACCGTCCTCAGTCGCAATTTCCAGAGCCTTTTTTATGGCAAAAAGTTCTCCAAACATTGACGAGGCCATGAAGTCAATTTTGAAAAGGAATTTGAAGTCTTTTGTTGCATTGTAAACCCCGCATCCAGTGGACTCAATGTTTACCGAGGCATCTGTTGCAAAAATACAAAATTGATTACTTTTATAAAAAGACAGCTCGCAATTAAAGGCAGAGAAAATGACCTCATTAGGCGTAATGTTTTTCGTGGATGGTAATAGGTTAGTTCTTACCGTTAGATTTCTTTGATTTTTGTATGAAGTAATCTTGATTTTTCTAAAGATGTGCTCAAATTGATGATAGATGACGCTGTAGCTCGATTTGACGAGAGGGTTGTTTTCAATTATGTCAGATAAGTCATTATTTTCCAGCTTGATCTTAAGTATCTCCTTTGTGGTAAGGAGTTTGGCTCTATACTTAGGAGGCAATTCTCCAGCTAGGGCATATATAACGTGATTAGGTGTCGATCTACTAACCCCCAGGGATCTTCTTATCATCTCATTTTGAAGTCTTTCGATATTGTTATTGACATATTTTGGTGAATTGGCAGTCGTAGTTCTACCATAGTCTACTTTCGCTCTCACAAGGCTTTTGTATAAATTCAGAGACACTTTTGGATGTAGGCCTCCTTTAGGGGGGTTAAGGCATTTGAGCAGTCTGGTTCTGTTGCTTACTGGATCCTTGATATGTGAATAGTGATCTTTGACCGATAAGGAATTTGAGATAATTCTGCCCAAAAATTTCATTTTTTTCACCTGTTCTATTCTGCATCCATCTACATTTAGTAGAATTTGTTTGGTACTATTTTTAGCAAAATAAATCGTCTTCGACTTTTCTGGATTGAAGGATAAATTTATATTACCGCATTTCCTTTGAAAAGCCACTGCCTTAGTTTGTAGGTGTTGTAAAGCCATGTCAAAATCGTGATCAAAGACCATCAAAAGGAAGTCGTCTGCATATTGAAAAATTAATGTTTTATTATCTTCCAGTTTATGAAGATTTGCTGTGTAGATGTTAAAGAGCAGAGGAGATAGACAGCTTCCTTGTGGTAAGCCGTTTTTCACCACAACTTCTTTGTCACCCAGTCTCAGAATCCTTTTTGATAGAAAGTTTATTATCCAATTCACAATTGATACGTTGAAGTTGAGCTTTCTCAAGATTTGCCCGAGAATATCCACTCTCACACAGTTGTAGGCATTATTTATATCCAACGACAGAACTAGTACTTTATAGTTGTTGGCCTTTAGCAGTGCAACGCGGTGAAGGAATTCATTTAAGCATGTAGATGTAGACCTACTTTTCCTATATGCAAAAGATCTCGCTGGAATAACTTCCTTATCATCAATGAATTGTACTAGCTTATCTTTAAGCATTAGATTGATGACTTTCATAAAGACAGAAATGAGAGATATTGGGCGATAATTTGACATGTCGGTTAAATCCTTGTTAGGTTTTGGAATTGGGACTATTTTAATAATCCTCCAGTTGTCATTGATTGAGTTCTCTAAAAAGGCATTATATAGAGCTGTCAGAATAGCTCTTTTAGAAATGCCGGGTAGCGCCTTGATCATTTCGTATGTTATTTTGTCATGCCCTCCGGCAGACCCTTTTTTCTTTTCCGATAATATTTTCTCAAAGTGATCAAAGTCAAAAATGATTTTGTCATGGAAATTGTGTTGATCACTATAGCTAGGCACTTCTAGCAAATCACCAGGTACTTGGTCTTTGAGATACTGAAGAAAGTGACTGCTCCGGTCATTATTCCATGGTCTAACCTCCGCAGACTCTCTGTTCCTTACATTGTTAACAAATTTCCAAGCTTCTCTTGGATTTGCAATTCTGTTAAGTTCATTGATTTTGGAAAGAAAACTGTCATTTTTTGCCGTTTTGACCTTCATTTTCCAATTCTCTACCTCCTGACTAGCTTTAGATAGGTTTTGATAATTAGGATATTTCCTTGCTTTCTTTAAAGCTGCAAGTTGATTTCGGTAAGCAACACTCAAGGAATCATTCCACCAATACTTGGGTGATCTGTTGGCACTTAGATTGTTAGATGCAGCTTTTATTTCTGAGCTTATTGCATCCTCTATAGCTAGCATGTCAGGTTCTAGCTCTAACTCACCCAGTGCTTTCATTAATTTTGCTTTGTGTAAGAAGTTCTGGCCTTTTGGCTTTTCCGCTTTAATCTCAAAGGTAATTGGTAGATGACGGCTGCCCCCAAAATGTCCATCTAGAACATTCCAGTTACCCCCAGACACGTTGCTGAGAAAAGTTAGGTCAGGAACTGATCCCTGGGAGTTGGACCCACCTTTAAAGGTTTTTTTACCGTTATTGAGACATAGAAAGCCAGCTTCAGTAATCAACATACGAAGTTCCCTGCCTTTAATGGAAGTGAGATTATCTCCCCAGGCTTCATTGCGGGCATTGAAATCGCCACATAATATTACATTCTGAAAGTTTTCCAAGAAGAGAAGCAATTTGGAAACTTCCTCAATAAAACAAGTATTTGAGGTTGTTGGTGGAAAGTACACCGAGACGATGACGACATTTCTCTGTAGGTTTGAGGTTTTGATTATCAGGATGTCATAATCAGTATCATATTCTATTATTGATATATTTATTTTCTTTCTTACTCCTATGGCCACTCCTCCATAGCCATCAGGTCTGAATTTTTGCACGAGATTGTAATTGATTAGTTTGTTTCTGCATCTCTTATCTTCTGAAAAAATTTCAGATAAAATTATGATGTCATAGTTGTTTTTGTTAGCAAAGAATTCAATGAAGTTTTTGTTATTCTTAAAAGATTGTATATTATACTGGAGAATTCTTAATTTATTCAACATTATCATTTGAGATTGTATTGTTGCTATTACCTTCAAATGTTACTCCGCATTTTTGAATCCTTTGTTGAAAATGTTGAATAGCATCAACTGCCACTTGATTTTCATCCTTTTTGAAAAAATCGTACATAAATTTGAGAAGTTCTTTGGTAATTTTTTCCAGTTCAGAAAGTTTTTGGTCCTCTTTTACATAAACAGGGCCTGATGGTGATGGTTCCTCAAAAAACCGTTTCCCAATTTTGACCCCAGGCCTATGGATGTACGGTTTTTTGGGTTTTTTTGCCACAGAGTTGTATGTATATGGTGTCAACACCTCATTAACGTCGTCATCAATTGTTTTAATTTTTGGACTTTCTTCCCTTCCCACACAACTACCACTGCCTGCCGGGAGAGAGAGAAAGTTTGCTTCGTCAAATGATAGGTCAAATCTGTTTTGGAGTTTATAAGAATTTAAAACTTCTTTTTTGGACATCTTTTTTCGAGTCATTATTTTGTTGATTTCAATTTCTTTTGCCCAGACTGGACATTTATCCCTTTCATCACATACGTGATCAGATCCTTTACACAAAATACAGCTTCTGATGGTACAATTCATATTGCAATCTTCATTACCGCATTTCCGGCATCTGGGATTAGATCTGCAGCCAAGCTTTGTATGTCCCAAGCGCCCGCAGTTGAAACATTGCCTGATGGCTGGATAATAAGTGTCCACCACAAGAACAACGTGATTGAACACTACCCATGAGGGGTGGTTATCCCCGTAGAAACCGACCTTGATTGTCTCAGTGGGTCTAAAACCTGATTCAGTACTAACATCTTTCCTTGTGAACCTAGTCACAGAGGCTACCTTCATATCCGACACAATCCCTTTGAGGAGTTCATCTTCGGAATATGAGACAGGTATATTTCTTAAAATTCCGAAAGTCTGGAAAAAATTTTTCGGAATAAAAACCCGCATATTCAGTTTCTTTATTTCTTCATTGCAAATGAACATATTTGCCGCTTCCATTGTCTCAAAGGTAATTTTGTATAAAGTTGCACCAATTGCGTCTGCTTGCTTAATTTTTTCCAATTCTTTTGCCTTAATACCTTTGATTTTTTCAAAAAAGTAAAGGCCATTTTTAATTTTTTTGTTCTTCATATTCCCTACTTCACTTGTATCCACTAATACCATGAACTTACCCTTATGATTTTCCGTGTACAGCAACGTCTCTTCATTCACGCGCCTTTTCTTTTGGTTTTTGCACAAATCCTCTGTGTTGGAATTTGCTTTGTCATTTTTGCCCCTTCTGCTCTCACCAACCTCACCTCCGCCTTCGCATACATCAACAGCATCGAACACCCTTTTTTTTCTCGCATACACACATACATCTTTATTTTCCGCGTCATCTTTTGTAACGGTACCCTCAAACTGTGGTACAGTTACTGCTGTGTCCATAGCTTGGACATTATCGATGATTTGTTCAGCCATCATCACACAATCCCGAAATCAATTTAAAGTTGATTTTTGGGATAAAACACACAATTTTATACTTTTTCCAGGACAAATCAATTTACCCAATGCACCAATGTGTTTTTGCCGCTCCAACGCCAACATGCAAAACTACCACCAAAACGACTTGCAGCAATGTCAGCTCTATTACGCAGCACAAAAATATAAAACGACGCTCCACAGTACCAATACAGCCAATTCTTTTATTATTCACGTTGATTATAATTTTCTTACTTGTTGCCACCAAACAGAATTGCAGCAGTCTGCTTTTATATGTTTCATGAAAAAACCAGACAGCAACGCTCCACAGTAATCACTTTTCAAATATCACAATTTCTTCTTTTTATTTTTCTCTTTTTTAAGTTGATTTGTCTTACTCTTCACAGCTCTGTTCCTTTTGTTCTGCACGCTTCGAACTCTCAACCAGGAATGTAATAAAAGTTTTAAAAACAATAATGGCCAACCAATAAAAAACACCAACACCAATAAAATAATTTCATCCCAGACCACGGACAAAATGGACACCGAATACAATTACAATTCGCTAAATGATGGAAATGTACTGTATACACCAAACCATCCAGGGCCATTTTATGTCATAGTGTCGTCAGAAACGCCAATCAGCTCTAGGAGAAAAAACTGCGAACTCCATTTGTATATACGTCTAAAGCAAATCAATCTCACTAACTATGCTTGCAAGTGTGTGGGATATAACACTTTTAGAATGACGTTCAACAATTTTGAATCTGCCAACTTATTTGCCACAAATCCCAATTTAAAAACTGTTGGATTAAAGGCATACATCCCAGAGAGATTTGTTCAACGTTTTTATATTATCAAAAATGTACCTACGTGCCTTTCTGCAAATATTATAAAGGAAGAAATTATGCAAAACAATGAATGTATGGAAGTAGTCTCAATTTATCGCTTTACTAGGAAAAATGATTCTGGTTTAATCGTACCCACAGAAACTATAAAGATTGGTATTATTTTTGATGGAATTCCTACGAAAATATATATGTGTGGAACAAAAATAACACCGGACTTGTATGTACCACCTGTTCGGCTGTGTTTAAACTGCGGCCGTTTAGGCCACATTGCTCTTCGTTGCAGGTCGACGAAGAAGTGTCTAAGCTGTGGAAAAGAAATTCTATGTGCTACAAATTGCAGTAAGGAAAATAGATGTTTAGATTGTCGTTCTACAACAACCTGCAAAGAACTATGCATGTCTCCAAGATGCATACTTTGCAACAAAATAGATCATCTTGCAACAGATTCCAAAAATTGTTTGAAGTGGAAGTCTGAAAGAAATATTAGCAGCATTATGGCCCTAACAAACCTATCTAGAAGGGAGATTCTCCAAAATTACCCAGAAACAAGAAATCGTTTCCAAATTCTTTCTGAACGTGATTTTAATAATGAGTTCCCGCCTCTCTTAACAAACAGGACTCCAAAAATTAATATACATGATGCAATCAACAAAAAAATTACAAGTATTAAATATAGCAAAGTTGCGGCTCCAATAACGAAAAATCAACATGCCATTGCAAGCCCAATTCATGTAAATCCAACCAAAGCAGTATTTGATCATCAAAATTTTTCTAAAGTTACTGAAATAGAAAGAGCATTAGCATCATTTTCAAGGCAAATGTCCACAATACTTACGTCTCTTAACTGCACAGAAGGTCTTGATGTTTTAAAGAAATTTCAACAAATAGTCATTCCAGCATCAGCAAACAACCAAAGCCCATATACATCAGAAGCCAATGAAGAAAGCCAATTAGTAACATCCTGAAAAAGATAAAGTGTGATCAATCTAAAATAACTGCAAACAAATAATAATAATTTTTTTTTTCAATTATCCATGAACATCTTACAATACAATATACAAAGTCTTAAAAAAAACAAAAACTCTCTGGACTTCCATTTAAGAAAACTTAACATCGATATATGCTTCCTGAGTGAAATTTTCAATATAGATGAAAAACAAAATTCAACAACTTTTCAAAATTATAATATAGTTTCAAAAAAGAGAAAAGATAATTATGGTGGCGTCGCGATAATTTTAAAGAAAAATATTCAGTTTAAAAGAATCTCTTTTCAATCAACACTTGACATACTAATTTGTCAAACCACTAATTTAAACAATAATCTCACTTTAGTTGCTGTCTATTTTCCACATTCCGTAAAAAGCATAACCATTAAAAATGAACTTGAAAAAATAACATCCTTCCTCAACTCTAATACAAATACATTTATCTGTGGCGATTTTAATGCTAGACATTCGGCCTTTGGTGATTTTTTTGATTCGCAACGTGGAAAAATGCTTAAAGAATTTTTTGACTATTCAAACTTTCGATGTTTAAATGATGGAAGTTACACTTTTAAAAAACGAATCAATGACAATACAGGATCTGTTTTAGATCTATCATTTACCAACTCAACTCTGTCACTATCTTGGAAAGTTCAAAAAACAATAATTGGAGGAAGTCACCATCTCCCAATAATTCTCAAATTGAGCGATACTATTTGCCACGGCAAAAAGTTCTTAGCGAAAAAAAAGCTTATAAGAAATCTTGCAATATTAAAATTAAATCCGGACTTCGAGGAAATCAACTTCGCCATGCAAGCTGAAATCAAAAAAGCTACATATGTTATTGATAACAAAAGAAATCCAAAACCTTGGTGGGACCCTTTTGTCGAAAAACAATTCAGATTGCAAGTAGCCGCGCAAAAGAAATATGATTTGCATAGCAATGACACTAATGCCCTTAATCTTTTCCAAGCCATTAAAAATTTTAAAAACGCCACAAAATATGCAAAACGACAATCTTTTAAATCAAAAATTACAACTTTAAATATGGAGCCTAACTCAAAATCATTATTTCGTCTGGTAAAAGGATGTAAGACCAGTTTGTCATGCAATAACGGTGGGAAATGGTCCGAAAATAACAACAAAATATTTTTAATACACCTAAGGGATCAAGTCTTGAACAACAGCCACATTACCTTCCCTCCAAACACGCAAAGAACACCCGTCGAACTCACAATGGAAGAATTCTCATCTGTCTTAAACAGAAAGAAAAAACCTTCAGCAGCAGGATTAGATGGCATAACATATGAGATGATAAATAACTTATCAGAATCATCTAAATATAATCTTTTTCAAGCAATGAATACAGCTTGGAAAAAATGTGAACTAAGAGAAAATTGGCGAAAAATCAAAATTGTTCCAATCCCAAAGAAAGGAAAAGATCTGGAAATATTCACAAATTTTCGACCAATATCATTAATATCAGTTTTTCTCAAAATTATAAATCTTATGATCAAAGAAAGATTACAGTCATTTCTTCAGGAACAAGATATTCTTCCGACCAACACATACGCATACAGGAAAAACTTCTCTTCATCCATGTGTATCAATCATTTACTATACACAATAAATTATCACAAGGAAAAAGGAGAAAAAGTAATTCTACTGTCTATAGATATTGAAAAGGCCTATGATTGCGTAAATCTATTAATTCTTTATAAAATTTTGTCCGAGATAAACTGCCCGGAGGATATCAAAGATTGGACAATAAACTTTCTTAAAAAACGCACAATTGTTATGGGCAATGAAATGATAGATATATATAATGGATTACCTCAAGGCAGCTGCTTAAGTCCAATACTTTTTAATATATATACGCTTGGTCTACATGGAATTGCAGATCAAAACACATATTTATTTCAATTTGCGGATGATTTTATTTTACTATCCACTGACAAGGAATTTGAAATGGCAAATGAAAATCTACAACATAAAGCGAATCATTTTTACCACATTTTATCCCGCTTGAATCTTAAATACAACCCTGATAAAACCTTCGTCATGTATGTAGCAAAAGGCCCCCGTAAAATCCCAAATATAAAGTTACAAAATACAAACATAAACTCTGTTGAAAAAATAAAATTTCTGGGAAGATAAATTAAAAACAGTCTATCGCTAAAGGAACACTATGATGAAGTAATGAATTCCTGTACCAACTCACTAAACGCATTAAAAATGATAAACAACGCCAAAAACGGATTACTCCCAAACATATCAATAAATCTAACAAAATCCCTAGTGTTCTCTAAGACAGAATACGCAATATCATCTATGGCCCACATGCCACAATATCTCAACAAAAAGCTAACTAGCTTTCAAAATCAAATGCTTAGAAGAAGCCTTGGACTTACCCCTTCCACAGCAATACACAACATCTATGCACTGGCTGTTATGCTTCCTCCTGAACAACGTTCTCAGTATCTTGCAGCTAAAGAACTAATAAAATTCAAAATGTATAACAATACGCTGTACAACTGCATCACCACAGATTCCTCTGTAAAAACAAGTTTGGGTTTTATCTACAACAAATTTAAACACATCCTTGACCGAACTATGGTAAATCAAAAAAGGATACCTTCAAAGAAAATAAGCTTTTTAGATGATCTCTTTAAGGCAGTAAAATACTCCAAGTCCAATGAATTTTTTAGAGCAATTCTTCAAGAAAAACTAGTCTGTTTAAAAAACCAGGGTCATTCCATATGGTCAACTGATGCATCAGTCACAGACAGTAGTACAGGTTGTGCGGTCTGCAACATATCAATGAAACATAATTATGCTTTCAGAATAACATCAAAAACCTCTTCTCTAATGGGAGAACTACATGCCATAAATAAAGCAATTGATATAATGATCGAGGAAAACACGCTCAAAGCAGTCATTCTTACGGACAGTAAAAATGCCTGTCTTACACTCAAGACAAACACACACCATAATTATCTAGCAAACGACATAATTCACAAAATAAACAATTCTAACTTACAATCTCTTATTTTCATATGGACTCCCTCGCATATTGGTATACCAGCAAACGAACTCGCAGATTATTTCGCCAAACACGCAGCCACAGCTGGCTGTATAATCACCACCAATGCTTCAATTACAGACGCATACTCTGCCATTTATGATCATCTATGGAAAGAATGGGTAGATAAGTACAAGGATGCATCCGAAACTAAGGGCACTTACTTTTCACAATTCTTCAACACACCACCAAAATCTTACTGGTTCACTGGCTCAAAGATGTCACCTGGTAATATAAAGCTAATAAATCGTTTACTCACTGGACACACTTACGGCAAAATATACTTACATCGCATTAAAGTCGAGGCCTCGGACATCTGCACACTTTGTGGAATCACTGAAAGTGAGGATCACCAAATTTTTCATTGCCCAAAATTCTGTAACGAAAGGAAACAATTTAAAATCTTCGAAAGGTACAAGGACTTACCATCAATTTTAAAAACCTTCTCGCCAGAAAACTTCGTCGAACTGTCAAACTTCATTCACAAATGCAATCTTCAACTCTGATTTTCTCTGTGAGATAGCAGAAACATAAACAAAACAAAGAATATGATTATTAAGTAATCTATAACCTAGTAATTTGGCATACCTGCCAACCATGACGAAGAAGGAGAAAGAGAATCAAAAAAAAAAAAAAAAAAAAGGAGCTATGGCTATATTTGAATCGATCTTCACCAAATTTGACGTACTTGTTTCTAGGAGTAATTTAGTCGGAATCGGTTGAAGATATATATATGGGAACTACAACTTGAACCGATTTATATGGGGGACCTGAATCGAAGATTTCCAAGATTTGGTTGTTTGGACTTGGTTAAACTACATTTCAAAGCTCTTAACTAAATAAGGTGGACTTTATCGTGATTTCCACAGACAGATAGACAGACAGACGATCATCGCTATCGTACAATAACTTTTTTCTGATCAGGAATATATATATGAGCTAATATTACACGTTTGATGCACAATAAAAGGCAAATCGGACGAGGATATATATGAGAGCTATATCTAAATTTTGACAGATTATCTCCAACAATTTCAATAGGGTTCGTCCTTGGGTCAAACAAACGATTTGAGCAAAATTTCATCTGGATAGGGCAACAAATGCGAACTGTTGTTTACGGACGGACATACATACATCGACTCAGAATGTGTGTGATTCTATGCAGATCGAATTATGGGTCTTCTCGTTTGTTCCTTTTGCCAGTTACCCTTCTCCTTCACAAATTTCCAATTTCCTATATTTGAATTCAAATGTGCGTGCCGTGCTGATGGTATTGCGTATTCATGTATCCAATGTATTGCTCTGGAAAACTCCCGTCCTTTGGGGCGTTTGGAGTCAATATCCGTGCCAGGGAATCCGTCCTCCAAGAAAAAATACTTTCCTGGAATCAGGGTACAAATAAATACAGCTGGAAAAATATTCTCGAGTTGCTGGAGACACATATATGGCTTTTCTATCCATGGACCATTAATTGGAGGTTATGTTGGCGGTCGGGTTTTGTTTATTGTTTTTTTAGTCTTTTAAATCACGCACAATCTCAAATCACACATATACACATTTGTTCTATTTGTTTCTAAATTATTTATATATAAATTTTTATACGAAATTAAATAATTAATTAATAAATTAATAAATTAAAATCAATTGAATGAATTACCAACCGACGCCACCGAGAAAAGAAAAAGAAGTAACGAACAAAGGACACTACAATATGGCAACACTGAAAAGAAAGACAGCACAGAGAGAAAATCGAAATAAAGATGGAATCAAAAGGGAAAGGCGGACAACACAAAAGGAATCAAAACAAAACGGCCGACAACACAGCAACAGATGCAACAGATGTTTAAGATATGTTGTCGGCCGTTTTGTTTTGATTCCTTTTGTGTTGTCCGCCTTTCTGTTTTGATTCCCATCTTTATTTCGATTTTCTCTCTGTGCTGTCTTTCTTTTCAGTGCTGCCAAGTATCCTTTGTTCGTTACTGCACTCTCCCGGTGGCGTCGGTGGCGACGGTTTGGTGTGTAAATTGTTAATTCATTAATTAATTCTTAATTATTTAATTATTTATCGTATTTCGTGTAAAAATTTTTATATAAATATCTAGGAGATTGTGCGTGATTTAAAAAAACTTTGAAAAAACAAATCCGACAGCCAACATATCAAGGAAAACAATAAACAATTGAAACAGGCAAGGGTGGCTTAAAATAAATGACAACATAAACCATTTGCAAAACCAAGCGTGAAACACCCATAAACATTGCAAAATTAATCGGTCAGGTCTTCACCAAACCCCAGGAAAAGAATACTAACCCAATTAATGTCCGCCGCTGTAGCAGATGCTACATTTTGTGTTTCTAGATTTAAGGAGGCAAAGTAAATCGCAGTAACCATCTAAATAAAATTTGGTTTAACGAACACCCAAAATGGCTACCAAAAGACCTCTCTCGGTTACGGAAACTGTAGAAATTGGCTCTCAGCCGCCACACAAAAAGATACGCATACAAACAACAAAAAATGCCACAAGTGGAAAGCTGCAACAGGCATTAAATATACTGGAGACGATATCACCGCAGAACAGTAAAGAGTTATTGGATGTTCTTGTCAAGATTGCAGACGAATTGGTTTTGACCGATTGCCAGTTGCCCGAGATACACGAAGCCGTGCATAAACTTATCGAACTGTTTCGCCAGGAACGTGATGGTGACACAACGATACGGGTTATGATCTTGGGCCTATTGGCCGATTTATCGGAGGTACGCATTTCGGAAGTGGTAAATACATTGATAGACGAAATCATTGGTGTGCTGAAATATGAAAAGTCCCAGAAGGTTATTGCTCAGGGCTTGAGCAGTTTGCATAAGATTGGTTTGAACAATTTGAAAATCCTACCCACAATGCATTTGACCAAGATCGCACATTTTGCCCAACAACAGCTGTCATCGGAGTCACATCACACGCAAAAGAATGCTCTGATGGTGTTGGCTTCATTTGTGGCATTGAGTGATGCTAAAAAGGGGGTCATTGATACCATTGGTCACTATGCGGATTCCCAGGATTCGGGTGTAAGGGCCCAAAGTCTGAGATCAATTTTATGTTTGGGGGAACGGGGAGCGGTGCTGTCACCATCACTTTATCAAAGGGCCGTTGATGCCATGCAAGATGATTATGAGTGTGTCCGGCAACAAGCCTTGCAGTTAGTGTTACAATTGGGCATAACCCATCCCGAGCACATGATAGTGTGTGGTACAGCGGAAGACGATGAAGAAATGCGTCTCATTGATGCTGCCTTTAGTAAAGTGTGTGGAGCACTGTGTGATTTGTCCATACAAATACGGGTACAGGCTGCCCAGCATTTGGGTGAAATGACCATGGTTGGTTCGGAGTTTTTACATCAAACTTTGGACAAAAAGTTAATGAGTAACTTGAGGCGCAAGAAAACCGCCCATGAAAGGGGAGCCCAATTGGTGGCATCGGGGGAATGGTCGTCGGGTAAGCGGTGGGCTGATGATGCCCCTCAGGAACATTTGGATGCAAAAACCATATCTTTGATAGCTAGTGGAGCATGTGGTGCCTTGGTCCATGGTCTGGAGGATGAATTTATGGAGGTGCGTATTGCCACAGTGGATTCCATGTGTAAGCTGGCCTTGAAACATCCTGACTTTGCTGTAACATGTTTGGATTTTTTGGTTGACATGTTCAATGATGAAATCGAAGAGGTACGCCTCAAGGCCATTTATAGTTTGACAGCCATAGCCCGTCATATTGTGTTGCGGGAAGATCAACTGGAAATCATGTTGTCCTCCTTGGAAGATTTCTCCGTAGAGGTGAGAGAAGGTTTACATCTCATGTTGGGTGCCTGTCGTGTCTCCACACAGGCTTGTCTGCTGATGGTGGTGCAGAAGCTGTTGGATGTTTTGGCTAAATATCCCCAGGACAAATTGTCGGCCTTTGGATGTATGCGTAAAGTGGGTCAGAAACATCCACATTTGTGTATGGCTGTAACCTCACATCTGCTACAGGATCATCCATTTTTCGATAGCGCAGAGCGGGATGTTGAAGACCCTTCGTATTTGTGTATTTTGATATTGCTGTTTAATGCTGCTGCCAGTTTGGTGCCCATAATTAGTCTGTTTCCCGATGTAACCTTAAAACATTATGCCTATCTAAGGGATGCAATGCCGAGTCTGGTACCACCTCTACCCATTGAAGGAGCTTCAACCAAGAAACCAATTGATGATTTGGGTAGCACCAACAACTCCAGGGAATATTTGGAAACTGTGCTGGCCCATATCAATGATATTTTTACCATACCCACCCAGGAGCGTAGGGTGCCGCTGCTGAAAACAGCTCAGGATAATTTAAAGGTAGGGGTTTCAAACAACCAAATTGGAAGCAAACTAATTCTGTTTTTTATTTACAGCGCCTGGGTGAAATTGATCCAGAAATGTTAGGAACCGCCAACTTTTTGGAAACATTTTTGGCCGCCCAAATCCAAATTGAACAGCTGCAGTCGTGTACCACCTCACAACACAGTCGGGCGCCACTGAAGGAGTCTCTGGCCCAATTGGTGCGCAATTGCCTCAAGTTACAACATATCTTCTCCGGCCTCACTTATGGTGATATGTTATTGGTCAAACAGATATGTTTGAGAGCCTCAGCCCTCCATCTGGTTCTTGTGGTTCGAGATCGTTCCCAAAGTGCCTTGGGCCCGTGTCAAATGTTGCTACAAACCGCCTCCGACATTAGCAACTTCCTAGATGAAAAACAAGAATTTCAACCGGATGCCCTGACAACAGATTTACTAAATCAGTTGGCCAGTATTGTTGATCCCAAACCGGGTAAAGTATTTCGGGAAATCTTACCCTTGGTTCAGAAGCCATCCATTGTGCAAATGCCACCGCCAAATGTCAGTATAAAAATGTGTGAAGCGAATATTTTGGAACCATGTCCACAAATGTCACAGGATAATGTTATCAAGGTGACAGCAGGGCTCATAGCCGCCCTACCATTTGTGGCGGAAATCGATAACCTTCAGGAGTCGCAAAAGAATGATATGCGTATCAAAATTAAATATCCCGATCAACATCTTCATACTGTGGTCCCCAAACTGTCGGACTTTAAGAAGATCATGACCGAACAGGGTGCACATGAGACAAATGTAAAGTTGAGGACAACAATTTTGCTATCACATTCTGTCTGGACCGAGGCATCGTCCGTTGAGATAATGTTGTGTTTGTCTGTCCGGCCTGGTACAGATCTAGAGTTATGTAAACCGGCAAAGATTTTATTCGCACCGAAACCTGTAAGACGCGGTATTTAAATAGTTTAAGTTTTGAAAGTATAATGACGTACATATGATTTGGGTGGGTGTGAAAATTGATTTGTAAACGAAATCAAAAGAAAGCAACAAATAAAAAACGTAGTAATAAAATAAGAATTGAGTAATTTTTCACAAAATATTAAAAAAAAACATTTATGAACTTTCTGGAGAATATGAATTAACTTCATTATTTAAATATAATTTCTTTTATTTCATTTCTTAATTTGTATTTTTGTTTAAAAATTAATTTGTTATGAAAAATTAATAAACTCTTAATGTGAACCTCCCTAAGTAACATATGATATCAACCCGGATATCATTCATTGTGAATGAATAATCACCGCCAAAATGTGTTATCGGGTGTGTGTGGATTGCAATTAAAGTTGAATTTTTGCAAAAAACATTGAAAGAAATAAAAAAACATAGTTTGAGAAGAATACATATTATTAATAATAAAAAATAAAAATAATGCCATTACTGGAAAAAAACTGATAGTCCATGGAATGAAATTGTGTTGGTGGTTTTTTGGCAAGTGTTCATGTGAACACTTGGACAAAAGCTGCATTGTGGCCCTTTTAGCTCAGTGGTAGAGCACTGGTCTCGTAAACCAGGGGTCGTGAGTTCAAACCTCACAGAGGGCAGGCTCTGTTTTTTTTTTATTTTTTTCCATTTTGATTTTATTTTTAATACAAAAGCTCAATTTTTATTATTTCCTCAAACTGATATATCCTCATTTAATGCGGCTTTCATATAACAAGTTTGAAACAATTTCGTGAAAAATGTGGCAAAAATAATCTTCGGCAGGGTGAGGACATGTCTGTCTCTGTTGGTATCTACAGCTTACATTAAATATGAAATTTAAAACGCTGCCGTTGAATAATATGGCTAAAATAACGAGTAATATATGTACTTCATGGGGTCTCCAACGACTGTTCCGAAGTGTGGCAAACGAAATTACAAAATAAACAATATACTCTCCAAATTATAAAGTGTATTTAGATCACTGTATTCTATAAAAACTTGTTATTGACAAGCATTTAAATTATAAACCAAAAACGAAATTATTTATATTTCCTTTTTGTCTTCTTTTAACCACAACAACAATCGTTCCAATAAGACATTCCCGCCATTCGATTATTGTTATCGATATTTCAAGCCAAGATCAAGAGAAAGTTCTCTTTGTGAGAGAACTTTTAAGTCTTTGCCTATTGTGATTGAGAGCAACGGCGGCATTTACATTGGGGACATTGAAGAGTAAAGACGCTTTTTTGTGAGTGTTGAAGAAAATCGGTCGACGCATCAACAAAACAAAAGAAAAATTACAATTTAAAAGAAGTAACGAAATAACAATTAAAATATTCTTAAACAATTTACGTGAGTTTCATAAATGAAAAATATATTTTAACAAAATAAAAAGCGACAAGAAAACTTCAACTGCATTATTGCCGGGATTGACGTGTCTTTTTGTTGTTTGTAAACCGTAAGAAGACAAACTCTTGATCAGACTTGCTTTGTTTTGGTGTCTTCCGAAAGCCAGCCGTCTGAACATACACACAAGCACGTATTACTACTATTACGACGGACAGACAGACAGACAAAACGTGAAAAGAGAAAGTCGGGCGCATGATAGTAAGTGCTGAATGAATTCCAACGCAATCGACCAAGAAACAAGCTACGAAACAAGTGGAAATTTGTAAAGAAGTCAAGAGATAATCTGGAATAATCAGTTGTTGCTGGATAATATTCTTATTGGAGTTTTTCATTCTTCTCCCAATTGGACACCAAGGTAAGTGGAATGAAATATTTTATTTGGCTATTTTTATTGGATGTTATTTTCTTTATTTTAAGTTAGTGGGTCAGCTGCAGTTTAGTGGCACTTTAATTTTGAATGTATTTCTCATAACAACGTTCAATTCGTTAGACGCAGATCTGTTATTTTAGACAACATACACCCAATTGGAAAACAATATCTCTTGTAGCTTTGGATTTAAAATCTGGGTCATTGAGTCTCCTACATCCAATTGAAAGGCAATATTCCTACATATTCCAATGTTGGTTAAAAAATCTAACTGAGTTCATAAAAAGGTGTTTCAGCGGGCTTCATCCTCTTTTTTATCAAAGCAAAGCCCAAGACTAAAAAAAATCACAGCTATAATGGTGTCACTAAACTGCAGTTGCGTGAAATGAATGTTGCTGTTATATGTTATGTCTCCACACAAAATTATGTCAAGCATGATAGACATATTCCGTTTTGTCTGATGAAATAATCAGTCTTGGTTGTTTAATGAAACAGCTATTCAAATGCATGGAATGCTCTTGTATATATTTTGTGCTGCATAGGTTTATATTAACATTTATTATTTGCTTTTTGTTAACAAAGAATTGGTGCATGGTCCATATTAACATAAGATATTTAAAAGTAACGCTTTAAACATATACAGGGTGAGATAAAAAAGTGCAACAAAGTCAAACGCCATCATTTTTACAATTTTTTTAAATTTTAATTAAATTAAAGCAAAAAATATCGCAAATAGCATCAAATTTTAGAATAAGTTTAGATTTGTTCGAATTGGCCACCTTTGGCACGAATTATGCCATTCAAACGGCTAATGAAACCGTCACACCCTGCCCGAATGTTTCTGTGCGCTATTTTGACCCACTCCCGGCGAAGCGCTTGCTTGAGGTGATCGAAACTTTGGTATTTTTTATTGCCAACCTTCCAAAATACCCCAGACACAATAGTCCAAAGGATTGGTATCCGGAGATTTTGGTTGCCATTATGCACTGGAAATGAAGCGAGGAACTTCATTTTGTAAACATTCTTGGGTGACACGTGCTGAGTGCGATGGCGCTGATTCCTGTTGGAATGTCCAAGGTATGCGGCCAAAATGTCTGCTTGCCCAAGGCATTAATAAACCCTCCAGGATATTTTCGCGATAATATTCGGAATTTATTCTGATGCCACGGTCGATTAATACGAGCGGAGAGCGACCATCCACTGTTATGGCGGCCCACATCATGACCGTGGCCGGCGCTTGAGTTCTGGTGGCCAACCGAAGGTGCACATTTTCAACTGACCTCTTTGGCAAGTAATCACGATCATTTTGTTTGTTTACAAACTGCTGGACAACGAATGTTTTTTCCTAGGAGAACCAAACCCAATTTGGCAGTTCACCACTTTCGGCCAAGCGAAGCAACTCTTTAGCTCTTTTGAGTTTATTTTGTTGTTGCCTTGCACTTTTTTGGCATTTCAATGGCTTTATCCCGAGTTCATTTTTCAATATTTGCCGAATGGAATATTGCGATATGTTCAGCTCACGAGTCATTTTTCGGCCACTGCGACGCAGGTTTCGTTCAAGTCGCTTCTTTGCTTTTCGAACTATTTCTGCTGATGTTGCTGTTTTCTTCCGTCCACTTCCTTGACGACGGGCTAAGCACCAGTATCACGGTAACGAGCGATGGTACGAGACTCGAAAGATTTATTCAGTGGTTGGATATGACAGCAGTCTGAAGCTGGTTGCAGTTGTTTCATCTCACCCTGTATAACTGTAGACCGAATTACTAGAAACCGTTCAAGGCTAGAAGGAGACACCTTCGATTTGGAAACCTACCAATTATTAAATTAAATAATTTTTTTCTGATCTGATCTTAAAACGATTGCTTCACTTTCCTCCAGTTTTTTCTCCTGTCATTTCTACAAAGTTATGGTGGTCCCGAGTCCTAAAACCTAACCTAAACAATGGCTGTATTTTAAGCCTGTAAATACCAATTTTACATCACTGTGTATCGGCGACAAGTACGCAGGGTGAGGGCACTAGCACCCTCCGAAATGTCGACATTTCTGTCATTTTTCTTCATATTTTGAATACAATGGTTCGAAATGCATTTGTATTCCTGATCAGTGTCATACCTACAAATTCATTTTGAAACCATTTGGGCAAAAATTCGGAAAAGTAACCTCTTTGGGGGAGCCAGAGGCCCATGTACTACCTTGCTGGGTACCGTGGCCTTTCTTTAAGACTTTCCTTTTTTGGCCTCGTTCAATTTCTCTTAAAATAATATTTTCAAATTTAATTTAAGGAAAAGTAAAAATTACGAAACACATTTTATTTTTAATCCAATATAAAATTAGTAAACGGCTTGAAACTTGAAGAATTTACTATTCCTTCTATATGTAAATATGTTTTATGTTATGTAATAAAATGTGTGCTTGGTGTATGTGGTTTAAATTTTGTCGTGTTACAATTAAGGATCTCTAATTCTAAGGCATGGTGGTGATGGGTTAAAAACATTAAAAACCAAAAAGAAAAATATTTAAAAAATTGAGTTTGTTTCCATTTCAGAAATACAAAAAATAAAAACATGTCAAAGGATAAACTAAATGGAACACTGACATCCTCGCCAAATGGCAAGGTACAACAAAACGGAAAACTGCAGTCGAACGGCAAAGTGCAGCAACAAAATGGAAAATCCAAAGTAAATGTCAATGCCTTGCCACCCCAGAAATCAATAGTCATTGCCTACATTCTATGGCTGTTTGGTGGCATTCTTGGCCTTCATCACATCTATTTGCGCCGTGATCGTCATGCCTTCGTGTGGTGGTGTACTTTGGGTGGTTACTTTGGTATTGGCTGGCTGTTTGAGATATTTGCCATACCCGGTTATGTGCGTGATGCCAATGAAGATCCCCGTTTCATAGAAGAATTTGTTAAGAAATTGCAACATTTTCGAAAACCTCCCTATTCGGGTAGACGTTTTGTGGGCGAGGTAATGATTGGCTATTTGTTTGGCCAGCTGTTTGAAATGGCCATACCCCAGACGATATTTTTTGGTATTGATTTTGGATTTCTTCACTGGCTGATACCCGTATTCATTGCCTTGGGTGTTTGGACGGTGGGTAATATTGGACGTGAGCGAGGTGTACTGTGGCATTGCCTTCTGGCAGCCTTTGCTGCTTATCCTGTGCGCTACTTCATTTATGATGAGACGTACACTCTGCTGATATCTTCGCTGGCTGCTGCATTGGTCTTTGATCATTTCTCCAAGGAATGGTTGCGTACACCACCCAAACGTCGCAGCACCATGCAAAGGACATTGACATTTACTGGAGCCCTTTGTATTTACTTTTCATTGTGGGGTTGTTTCCTGTACTTCAATGGCACCATTTCCGATGAAGATGGCAACGAGGTGCCCATACATGAAGCATTCCAAAATTTCCTAGCCTCAGCATGGTGGACAGATATTGCCCAGGCGTTGCAGGATACGTATAACTATGCCCAACATCATGGTTGGTATGAAACATGGAAAGAGATTTTCGAATCAATGGATGTTGATGGAGAGCGAAATGCCTACAAGGTGTTGGGTGTTAGTGCCACAGCATCACAGGCCGAGATAACCAGTGCATATCGAAAACTTTCCAAAGAATTCCATCCCGATAAGGTTAAGGATGAGTCGCAGCGGGCTGCAGCCAATCAACGTTTCATTGAAATTCAACAAGCCTATAGTGTTCTATCGAAAATTAAGTCCAGTCGCCGGCGTAAGAATACCAAATCTGTAGAAGATGAACCCACCATAGTGTTGTAGGGCGGGTGGTTTCGAGCGAAGGCAGCCAAAGTAATGTTTATTATTTCCCAATGACTGTATTACAATTTAAGTTTTAAATGTATGCCTTAATAATGTAAACGCTCCAGTGCATCGAATATTTTTATTTGAAACTTTTTAATAATTCCTTTAGTCTTGTAAGCAATACTTTGACATAATTAATGTACTTACGTAAATTATTTATTGTATTATTTATAGAATAGAACGACAATAATAAAACTCGAACTAGTTTTAGAGAAGCTCTACATGACCGTATGAATTTTCGATGTGGAATTTAAAAACTGGTCTGTTTAGGAATATTCTAAAATCAAGTTTCCCAAAAAAAGTAGATACTTGATGAGAAGACCCTCTGGCCTTATATAAGAAGTCCTTTTCGTCTTCAATGAGAAGTCCTTCTGGTCTTCTATGAGAAGACTTTTTGGCCTTCTATGGAGAAGACCTTTTGGCCTTCTATGAGAAGAACTTCTGGCCCTCTTCTATGAAGAAGACCTTCTGGCCCTCTGGCCTTCTATGAGAAGACCTTCTGGTCTTCTATGAGAAGACCTTCTGGTCTTCTATGAGAAGACCTTCTGGTCTTCTATGAGAAGACCTTCTGGTCTTCTATGAGAAGACCTTCTGGTCTTCTATGAGAAGACCTTCTGGTCTTCTATGAGAAGACTTTTTGGCCTTCTATGGAGAAGACCTTTTGGCCTTCTATAAGGAAGACCTTTTGGCCTTCTATGAGAAGAGCTTCTGGCCTTCTATGACAAGAACTTATGATCTGCTAGGAAGAAAACCTTCGGGATTTCTATGAGAAGACATTCTGGCCTTTTATGAGAAGACTTCCTGGTCTTCTATGAGAAAATCCTGGTCTTCTTTGAGAAATTCTCCTGGCCTTCTTTGAAGTAGACCTTCTGGCCTTCTATGAAGAAGTCCTTCTGACCTTCTATGAAGAAGACCTTCTGGCCTTCTATGAAGAAGACCTTCTGGCCTTCTATGAAGAAGACCTTCTGGCCTTCTATGAAGAAGACCTTCTGGCCTTCTATGAAGAAGACCTTCTGGTCTGCTATTAAGAAGACCAATATGGAGGGTATATTAAGTTTGTCATTCCTTTTGTAACACCTGGAAATATACATTTTAGACCCCACTAAGTATATATATTCTTGATCAGCATAAAATTCTATGTCGATTTAGCGATGTTCGTCCGTTTGTCCTTCGGTGGAAATCACTCCAGCGTTTGGAAGAAATGAAGTAGGTTGATCAAGTTTTACTCAAATGTTTATAATGTCTGCAGGACTTTTGGTATTAAAAAACGGTCATGTAGGTCCACCTTTTGATATAGCCCCCATATAATGGTAGTGATTTAAGCGACATTATTCACCGGAATTGTTTCAAATTTGGAATTTGAAGTTCGTAATGGATACTATAGCCTACGACAGAAAATTGTCTGTGCAGATCCACGTTTTGATATAGCCCCCATATGATTATCCACCGGAATTGTTTCAACTTTGGTATTTGAAGTTCGAAATGGATACTACAGCCTATGACAGAAAATTGTCTGTGCAGGTCCATGTCTTCGAATAGCCCCCATATAACAGAACCTCCCGATATTCGGTATTTTGATGACTTTAGCGCTATTATCCACCGGAATTGTTTCAAATTTGGTATTTGAAGTGTGTAATGAATAACACAGCCTATGACTGAAAATTGTCTGTGCAGGTCCGCGTCTTCGTATAGCCCCCATATAACAGTACCTTCCGATATTCGGTTCTTTTTTTTATTTTAGCGACATTATTCACTGGAATTCTTTCAAATTTGGTATTTGATGTTCGTAATGGATAATACAGCCTATGACAGAACATTGTCTGTATAGGGCCACATCTTCGTATAGCCCCCATATAACAGTACCTCCCGATATTCGGTATTTTGATGCTTTTAGCGCCATTATCCACCGGAATAGTTTGAAATTTTGTACTTGAAGTTCGTAATGGATACTATAGCCTACGACAGAAAATTGTCTGTGCAGATCCACGTTTTGATATAGCCCCCATATGATGGTACCTCCCTATATCGGTATTTTGATGATTTTAGCGCCATTATCCACCGGAATTATTTCAAATTTGGTATTTGAAATTCGTAATGAATACTACAGCCTAAGCAGAAAATTGTCTGTGCAGATCCACGTTTTGATATAGCCCCCTAATAACGTTACCCCCCGATATTCGGTATTTTGATGATTTTATCGCCATTATTCACCGGAATTGCTTCAAATTTTGTATTTGAAGTTCGCCATGGATAATACAGCATATGACTGAAAATTGTCAGTATAGGGCCACGTCTTTGTATAGCTCCCATATAACAGTACCTCCCGATATTCGGTATTTTTATGATTTTAGCGCCATTATCCACCGGAATTGCATCAAATTTGATATTTGAAATTCGTAATGGATACTACAGCCTAAGACAGAAAATTGTCTGTGCAGAGCCACGTCTTCGTAAATCCCCCATATAACAGTAGCTACCGATATTCGGTATTTTGATGATTTTAGCGAAATTATTCACCGATTTTTTCAAGTTTCGCATTTGAATATTCCAATGACTTGTGACAAAAGTTGCCGTATGTATCCTAATATAACGGCTACATTCGGTATTTTAAAGATTTTAACAGAATTTTTGACAGATTTTATTTTTTGAAAATTGCCAAATTAAATTCAAATGGTGGAGGGTATTCAAAGATCGACTCGGCCGAACTTACAGATTTTACTCTAATTTTTTGTTTATTCTAAAATTTTAAAAATTTATTATTGTCTTTAACGTGGGATATTTTTATACATTCAAATTGACTAATATTAATAACTTAATATTATACAATAAATATAATTTGTTATAATAATTTTTTTAAATATCATCACAATGTCTTAAGATTTATGTGGTCAAAGGTGGTGATAGCAAAATTCCTCAAGACTCCAAGTTGTTGACTGGCTCTTTTCTGTTCTAAACTGTGTTCCCAACCACCTTCGACCGTGAATATCTGCTGAGAATGAATTACAGGTTAGTTCGGTTAGTGTCCTTCGTGAGTGGGTGCGTTTTGTGGTGTTTTTTTGTTTTTGGTACCAAATGACAATGTATTGCATAGTAATACATTTGTACACGGCGGGGTAGTAAAATAATGAGAAATCCACATTACGTCCCCACGTGTCCCCCTCTCCCTACTTATAATACTGATTCTGTTCAATTGGAATTGGGACATTCCAAATTGATGAATGATATTTTTTCTTCTATAATTTTTTTTCGTTGGTCTTATTTTTGATTTCTGTTGCGCATTTGAAGTCTTTGTTGTAACATTTAAAAGTATTAATTGTAAGATATCTGTTTTAGATGTATGTATGTCTGTATGTCTATTTTCTTTCTGCTAACTTAAACTAAGTTGTTCCGAGCGAGAGCTTTCCGGCAATTCTGCTCTTTGGTCCATTCTTTTTTTCTGTTGAAATCCCTCTTTGTCCTTGGAACAATAAATGCGTTATTTTTAATAATTATATTTAATTCTGAAAATGGAGAAATATATGATTATTTTTTAGATCTTATTGATTTGAAATACTTCACCTTAAAAGTCTAATAACTGGGATGATTGGATCTGGTCTTAAAATCAACAAATTCACAACCGATTCTAAAAAAACAGATAATGAAAGCAATTTTTATTAATAAAAAATATATAAAAAATAAAAGCAAGAAAAGAAAAGGGTGAGATAAAAAAACTGCAACAAAGTCAAACGTCATAACTTTTACATTTTTTTTTAAATTTTATTGAATGAAAGCAAAAATGTCGGAAATAACATCAAATTTTAGAATAAGTTTAGATTTGTTCGAATTGGTCAACTCTGGCACGAATTATGGCCTTAAAACGGCCAATGAAACCGTGAAACCGCTGCCCGAATGTTGCTCTGCGGTATTTTGGCCCATTCCCGGCGAAGCGCTTGCTTGAGGTGATCGACACTTTGGTATTTTTTAGTGCTAACCTTGCTTTCCAAAATGCTCCAGACACATAGTCCAACGGAATGGTGTCCGGAGATTTTGGTGGCCATTGTGCGCTGGAAATGAAGCGAAGAACCTCATTTTGTAACCATTCATGGGTGGCGCGTGCTGAGTCCTGTTGGAATGTCCAAGGTTTGCGGCCAAAATGTTTGCGTGCTCAAGGCTTTATTATACCCTCCAGAATATTCTCGCGATAATATTCGGTATTTATTGTGATGCCACGGAGGTGCACATTTTCAGCTGAACTCTTTGGCAAGTAAACAGGATCATTTTGTTTATTTACATCGGAGACCACCAAACCAAATTCGGCAGTTCACCACTTTCGGCCAAGCGAAGCAACTCTTTAGCTCTTTTGAGTCTATTTTCTTTCTGTTGCGGTGTAAGTTCTTGCACTTGGCTTGGAATTTCAATGGCTTTATCCCGAGGTCATATATTTGCCAAATGGAATGTTGCGATGTGTTCAGCTCACGAGCCATTTTTCTGCCACTGCGATGCGGGTTTCGATCAAGTCGCTTCTTTATTTTTCGAACCATTTCTGCTGATGTTGCTGTTTTCTTCCTCTTCCACTTCCTGGACGTCGAGCTACACTACCGCTACAATACACAAAATATTTATTCACATATAAATGCTGGATTGCTCTAAGGATAAGCACTTGTGGTGTTCCAGGCAAATATAAAGAAATCACAATGTCACGCTTGAATTCCATCACGAATAACCGTTGTTCTGGAAAAATCTCACCAAAATGCTTTTGTACGCTTGTAAACAATATAATGAGCTGTGACTGGAATAATTTTAACAACTGTCGGACCGATTGGCTTAGAAAGCAATCTGAAGTTGGTTGCAGTTTTTTCATCTCACCCTGTATAATTTTATCAAATAATTATTCGAAAATTTCATAAAAAATCAATCATAAAAATTAAAGTTTTTTGCAAAAGAATTTAATGCTTGTCAAAAATAATCGAATAACTACAAAAATTAAAAAAAAATCAATAAATTATATGATTTTCATACCTGATAAGGCAAATGTTCCAAAATATCTACAGATTTGTCTTTAATATTCATCGTGTCCATGCATTTACACACGAGTTGTCTGAAATAAATGAATATTTTTTTTAATTATAATTTTTCGAATTTCCTTGAAAAATATTAAATATTATCTAAATTGTTTTAATTTCGGCAGAATTTGGTTCTGGACATGCTGCAATAAATTTCCGTTGAGTTTTTTTGGTGTTCATGCTTCGTCTCGATATAGTTTAAGTGAATTTGGAAAATATGATTTTCAATCGGTCAACAACAACTCATGCGCAACTGGGGGTTATTCTTCTGTTAGAAAAAAGGACAAAACATTAACACAAAGTGGAACAATATGACATCGATGGAGAGAAAAATTTGTTGATAGGAAAGAGGGATATAATCCATAATGACCTTAGTTTTTTTAAACATTTATCGAAGAAAGTACCATTTGGTACAGAAACATTTAGTACTGCTAAGTGTGATTTGGAATCCAGCGCTTTAATTTTACTATTTAAGGAATGTCTTTTTTCCATTTAAGTTTATTAATCATACTATTTTTGGTACCAAATTTACATTTCTATTAAAAAGAGGAACATGTTTGTTCATTTGAATGTTTGTAAGTTAAGGATTTAAAAACCGCAAAAAAAAATCTCCTGCAAATTTCTTTGAAAGTAAAAAAGCTTGCTTGAAATTAAAAAATTCCACTTGGAACTAGAGATATAGCATAAGAATCGGAGGTAAACATTTGGATTTTGTATGTATATATCTACTGATCTGTTAGAAGTATAAAAATAATTTTGACAATTATTATGCATTCGGCTAAGACTAGTGTTTAGCTCTCATATATATTTTAGCTATTTATCCCCGATTTCAATGAAATTTGGAATGTGTGACGGAATGTGGTCTAGAATAAAGTTTGTCAAATTGTATTTAAATCAGTTCAGATTTGGATGTTATGGAACATAGACCCAGAACGCAAATGGTACTAAGCTAACAGTAACAAACTACACAAGTATTTAATTGAGCCTACGATTATTATTACGGAGAAGTATGTAGGTTCAGATGTATTGTTACCTCGAATCCCCCACCTTTAAAAGATTGCAGTTTCCTGTAATCTTGGCCTTTGCCATGACACTAAATCCCAAGGACAAACACTTCGTGTATGGAACTTAATTTGGCATGTTTCTTTTTTTGCCCATGGTTAGCTGTATGTGGCGTGTTCACGTGGTAGTATACCGAGCGAGTTGTTTGTTTACGCTCTTGAAGAGAAAAGAAAAACTTGTCTCTTTGGACCAAATCCATTTCAGGCCTGTCTGTCTGGCTGGTGCACACGACACGTCTCGAAGAGAGTATCCAATCTGAATCAAAATTGCTGCATCGTAATACTATTATCATACTTGGATCGAGTTCGAAGTTGGGCGATATCAGTCCACATATCGCAATATTTCTACCGACATTAAAACCGACATGAGTAACGGATATAACAGACGGCTTCATCTGGTACCTCCTACATAACGCGTCAACGGAAAGGAATACGATTTTTACTAACACAAGGTGGGGTATATCGCCCACTTCATAAGATGCGAAATAAGTATCCGATTCATTCTAAACTTCACACTTTCCAATATTTCTATTAACACAAGATTTGTTGTAGGACGGTAGGTAGCGACCCACTTTTCCTGATACCTGCCCCAGAAAGGGTAAAAAAATAAGGGTAACATATCTTATTTTTCCTCCAAAAAAGGGTAACATTTTGATCAAGGACAAATCCCTATTGAAATTGGTAATAATCGTACCAGACATGGTGAAAATCGGCTCAGATATAACTATAGCTAACACATTGCAATATTCACTCCATAACAATGATATTCGGTACAAAATACAGTCTAGAAATACCCTTGTCAATTTTTTTATTGAGATTGATTCAGGTTTTGATATATAGCTCCCATATATGTATATCCTCGTCCGATTTCAAAAGTGTAATATCACGCCAAAATAGATTGATTTTGGTACATCCGACTGAATTTAGCGTATAAGGAAATACGTCGAATTTGGTGGAAATCGTTTTCCCGCAGCCCCCATATTATGGTACATTCCTCATTCGGTATTTTAGAATCAGTTCATTTTAGCCTCAGTTTGTAACGTTATGGTGTAAAATTTAGTAGTAACAGTTAAAAATGCGTCCTACCTACTGTGGCAGAACCTTGTCCATATAGGTTCATGTTATCTTAAAAGCCAGACCCCATGTAACGGTAACGGACATTCGATATTAATAGACTATTTTTACATGAGTTACTCTCCAAATGGTGTAGGATATAAAAAAGTTTAACCCGGCCGAACTTAACTGTTTTTTTTTGCTTGTTATTTATTTACTTTTATTTATTGTTTATGGGAGTAAATGGGAGTTTGCCAATTACTGGACCAACACTGTACATATATATGTATGTGTATATATGTATATATACAAAAAAAAACGGATGCATCCACATGCTAAACGAACACAAAAAGACGAGAATTGCAGCCAAGGGAGGAGTCATTTGTTTTAAGAGGACATTGTTACTTGTTTTTTTTTTTTAAATTTTTTCTTTAAAATATAAAAAAAACTTAAAGAAAATTCTATTCCTAAAAAACCAATTAAATAAAAAACAAAATTCATTTTTTTTGTAAACTAAAACAATATAATTTTATTTAAAATAAAATTAAAATATTTAAACTAGGATATTTTTGTTTCTTTCTATATTTTTTGTTTATACGGTTCATAGTTAAATATTTACAATAATTGAATAAATTATGTAAATATTTGATTTGTTTTTTTTCAATATTTTTTATTCATTATTTTTTCTCTATATATAGAATATATATAGAATAATTATAATAATAATGCACAATACAAGTGAAGTGAAATGAAAGGGAATTTTGAATTCGTTTCATTTCCGTTCATTGTATTTAGTTTTCCATTAAAAGTAATTTCGATCACAACAAGGAAAAAATAAAATAAAACACATTTTTTTCAAAATAATAATAATAATTAAAACATAAAAATAATAAAATTAAATGACTACTTATAAATGTACACATAAAAAGGAAAGAGACACATCATCAATTAATCAAGAGGCTAAAATACAATAGGGAGAGAAATAATAATAATAATTGCAATAATTTTTCTTTTTGTGGGAAAGGAAGGAAATTTTGAGAAAAAAAAAAATTAAAAGTTTTTTTCTTTATTTTTTGTTAGGGAATTTTGGTTTCTGTGGTTATTTAAAGGGGTTAATTTGAATGCAAGAAGGAAAGAGACTTTGTTTTCTAAGAGAAAGAGAGAGAGAGAAAACAAATGAGTGTTTTCAAAAGAGGTAAACAGAGAAAGATCTTCCTGCTATGTAGTAGTAAAAACAGTAAATTAGAAAAAATAACAAAATAAAAACTAAAGCAAGTAAGAGATAGAGGGAAAAAAGTAGGTGTGGGAAGGGGGAAGGGTGGGGGGAGAGGGAAATGTACTTAAATCTTAACATAATACTGAGCAAACAAAATTGATTTGTTACAAGCTTAAGTTTTCTTTTGTTTCATTCAAAAGAGACAGAGCAAATTGTAAAGAGAACACACATAAAAGAGAGAACAAAGAGAGTGGGGAAAAGATGTTAAGTAGTTACGGTTAAGAGAGGCATGGGGAAAGGCTGCATCTGCATAACACTGGGGGTGTAACGAAATAAAAATTTACTATTTTCACTACTTTTTTTTGAACATGCAAAGATTTTATTTGTTATTATTATTTGTTTTAGAGTTTCAATTAAAATTTATGGACAATTGTTTGTTTGGTTGTTAGTAGTTGGTATTTGTTTTTTTTTTTTTTTTTGCAGAAAATCATATTTTCGTGTCTTGTTTTTGTTTTTTTAATATGATTTTCTGTGTCTTTTTGTTTTCTTAACAGGGTTAGTGGTATTTTTTCTATAATTTTTTTTAATCTTCATTAATAAGGAAAGGAATGTTCGTTTAGTTTTTTTTTTTCATTTGATTTTTGGGATTAACTTTTTCAAAACCGAATCCCAGGGGGGAAAAGTTTCAATATTCATTATTTACATTTGTATTCGGTGAAACTTGTTTCCCCCTCAACTGCGTACAATTGTTACAGTACGTCTTGATTTAATTATTTTTTCATTATAAAAATATTTAAAATTTAACAATTTCATATATTTTTTAAATATTTTTATAATAAAAAAAAATTAATTTATTGCTTTTTGTGTGTATATATATTTTTTTGAAAATAACAAACTTTAAAAGCTTGCCTCACAAAAAAAATGAATATTATTATTTGTTTGAGCTTTAAAGCTTTAAACAGCTTTTCTTCAACTAAGTTTGATATTTTTTTGCTATTACATTGTATGTAAAAGTAAATAGTTTGTTTGTGTAGATGTTTGTGTTTGTTTTTGAATTTTTTCGTTTTGTTAACGGCCAGAGTTTGAAAGCTTTCTAGTTTCATACATTCATTCAACAACAGAACAGAACAGAAAATGAAAAAAAAAAATAACTTAGAAATGTGTTACTACAATATCTTCTTCGAGATCATCCAATTCATCGTCGGTCTCCTCGACTTCGGGTGTGCCATTGATATTTGATTCGGCAATGGCCTTGGCGGCAGCAGCTTCCTTCTCCTTTTCGGCGGCCTCAGCCTTTTCTTGTTTCTTGATCTTGCGTTGCTGTAAAGAGAATGGGGAGAAAATTAATAAATAAATAAATTAAATTTAATAAATTAACAAATAAATTAAAAAAAATTAATAATAAAACAAATAATAAAAATAAATAAACAACTTAAAAATATCAGTCGGTGTTGCCAACAGATGTATATCCTCAGCCAATGTTCTTTAAAAAAAAAAATACTGAAATAACCGGCTGACTAAGAATTAACGCCCAAACGAAACGGCTGAAGCTTGAATGTTGAAATTTTGGGTGAGGGTCACCCTTTGGTGCGAAGGTGTCAGATATGGCTGGGTTTTTGGAAATTCGTATTGGAACAGTACGAAAAGTATTAAAAGGTAATTCTTATTTTAGAAAGCAATAGAGCTCGAATTTGGAATAAGGGTCACAGATGGGAGGTTTTTGGAAATTCGCACTATAAGTGTACGATTCGGTACCATTTCGTATCATGTGAACGGTTAGAACTAAAAACTTTAAATTTGGAATGGGAATCAAGGTTGAATAGGGACGATGTACGGAAAAAATCTGAAATTGGGGACTTCATAGCGCATGCTTTACATTTTAAGAGACATTACTTATACGCTGTGATGGACAAAACTAGCAACAAGATTTTTAAAAAATTTCTAATGCCAGGAGAGGCCTCTAATTCCAATGGATCTCGAATATATCCCAAAAAAAAATATTTTTTTTTGCTTTCAACTCACCTTTCTTCTGTACAAGATTTCAACGATAATATAACCGATGCATCCCAATGTCAGGACAGCCAACAGGATGTACAACTTCATGCGGGCACACAGTGTGGTCGCATAAGCATAGGCAATCACAAAACCAGCCGATTCCCAGAGACGATAATTGGAGAAGGCAGCTTCCTTGTTACGTCTGAACAACAGACCATAGAGACCATTGATTTGGGTCTGCCACACAGCATCACCAACACCCCACAGGCCAGACATGGCATAGAAGATCAAGGGGTTGTCGGGGCTGGGACGCCAGAACAATTCAATTGTGATCAGGGTAAAGTGGACAACAGCACCCAAAATGATGATGGGTGTACGGCCGATATACTTCATCACCGAACCGAAGAGAATCGAACAAATGGCATTCACCACACCGAAGCAGATCATAACGAAACCAATCTGATGGATACCCAAGGCACATGACACATAGGCCTGAGTGAAATCGGCACCAATGAACGCCTGTTCCATGCCAATGAAAACGGTGATGGGGATCAACAACTGTTGGTTGGGTTTCTTCATCTGACGGAAGGTGGCCGACAACAATTCCATGCCCGACAATTCCTGGGCCGATTGGGAACCTTTGCGTTTCTCACCGTAACGCTTGAGAGGATCCAGGAAGAAGGCTATAATAGCCACGGCGGCAACAATACATGACAAATAGATCATGCTAATTTCGAAGATTTCATGGTCTGGTGGACGTTCCAAGTTGGAATGTCCATTGCTGCCATGAACGCAAAAGTTGGCGCCGCAGTATTGTAGGTCTTCTTCCGAAATGGTGCTGTTATCGTTGCCACTGCCGCCACCATGACCGCCGCTAGAGAGCACTGTAAAGAAAAAAAAACAAAGAAAGATGGTGAGAGTTTTGTTGGGTGTGAGAATTTTGAGAAGGATGGGAGAGAGGGAGAGTGAGAGAGTGCTAGAGAGCGATAGAGAGATAAGGGTGTTGCATGATGGACGAAGTCAATGAATTACGGTACTATGTGGCGTATGAAAACAATTTCTAGAGAAAAAAAATTATCATACGCCACCCGGTGTGTATTCTTATTTATTAAAAAACTTGAATTAAATACAAAACTGAGAAAATATTTCAAATGTGCTTCTTAAACCTTTCAAAATATTTCTAGAAATATTTCGTTTTAAGAAAACCAGGTTGGCATCTTTGAAAATGTTTTAAGAAAATCCATATCGAGTTTGTTTTTAAATGTTTAAAATCCAAACTATGCTTCCCAGCATATCCAGTGTTGGTAGAAATATTGGGATGTACGAAATTTAAAGAGAATCGGATCCTTATTTCGCATTTTTTTGAGAGAAATCATTATTAAAAATATTGATCCCTTTGTGTGGGAGGTACCAGAAAGGGTGGGCCGATATGTCCCGTCTTCACACCAGATCTGGTGTTGGAAGAAATATTGGAATGTGTGAAGATTAGAAAGAATCAGATGCTCATTTCGCGTTTTATGAGCGTTCTGGTTAGTCGAAAATTTTAACCCGTTGTGGGGGAGGTACCAGAAGGAGTGGACCAATATCGACCATCTTCACACCAGGTATTGTGCTAGTAGAAATATTGGGATATGCCAAGTTTGAAAATAATCGGATGCTCATTTCGCGTTTTATAACAGTTTTAATTATTCAAAATTTCGACCCCTTTGTGGGAGAGGTATCAGAAGGAGTGGACCAATATCTACCATCTTCACACCAGATATTGTGTAGGTTCAAATATTGGGATGTGTGAAGTTTGCAAAGAATCGAATGCTTATTTCAGATTTTATGAGCGTTTTAATTATTCAAAATTTTTGATCCGTTGTGGGAGCGGTACTAGAAGTTGGGGACCAATATGTCTCATCCCTACACCAGATCTTGTGTTGGTTGAAATATTAAGATGTGTGAAATTGGAAGAGAATAGGATACTTATTTCGCATTTTTTGAGCGTTATAATTATTCAAAATTTTGGACCCTTTGTGGGGGAGGTACCAGAAAGAGTGGGCCGATATCAACCATCTTCACACCAGATTTTGTGTTTGTGAAAGTATTTCAAAGTGTGAAATTTGAAGAGAATCAAATGCTTATATCACATTTTAAGGGAGCATTGATTATTTAAAATTTTGACCCTTTTGTGTAGGAGGTACAACAAGGGGTGGACCGATAAGTCCCATCTTCACACCAGATCTTGTGTTGATACAAACATTGGGATTTGTGAAGTTTAGAAAGAATCGAATGGTTATTCCGCACTTTATGAGCCATTGGATTATTCAAAATTTTGTCCCTTTTGTGAGGGAGGTACCACAAGGAGTGGACCGATATCTACCATCTTCACAACAGATCTTGTGTTGATAGAAATATTTGGATGTGCTTAATTTGAAGACAATCAAACTAATATTTCACACTTTATAAGAGTTATAAATATTCAAAATGTATGCGCCTAAAAGTATACTCTAAAAAGTGTGCTTCAAAAGATGCCAATTCACAATTTCTCTTGCCCATGCTGGCGTATGATAATTTGTGGCTATTAAAGTTTGCCATACGCCTCATGGCTTTTTGGTAATGAAAATTGATTTGAGAATTCCAGATTTGCTTCAAAATTCATATTTTTTTGGATACTTACCAAGACTTGAAATGAGATTGCCCCACAATTCAGCTGTTTGCCAGGCCAAAAAGAAGAAGCCAAAGAATCTTACAATAATAGCATCAACCGCCTGTTCAGTTATTTTCGCATATACCTGACCGACTTGTGTTAAATAGGTGGCCTTGGATGCCCACATGGGAGCGGCACCCAAACCGACTAGAATACCAGCAGGAACCAATGTGTAAAATCTGTATGAAAAACAAAATTTCAAAATTAATTTCGATATTTTTGCAATAAAAAAATGTAAAAAATCGAACTCACCTTGGGAACAACTGGAAGGCAATGTAGGGGGCATAGCACAACATACTGAAGACCAATGTCCATTTTACGGTTAGCTTACGAATAATTAGTGTGGGCAGGAATATACAGGACACAACGAGGGCTGCATAAATGGAACTCAGCGATATAGTGCCGAGGCCATCGGTGGCATTTATCGATGACTGTAAGTTAGCTGTACCCTGGAGGGAGGGAAGGGAAACGGAAGAGAGAGAAAATAAGGTTTTTAGTTGACGATTGAATGACAAGTTTTAGGAGGAATTTTTTTTTTTAATTTTTGAAAACAAAAAAAAATTTTTTTAGATTTCAAAAAAAAAAAAAAAAAAAATGCTGAGCATATTTTTTTTTAATTTTTACACAAAAATAATTAAATTAAAAAAAAAAATAAAATTATTTTTTTTTAGTTTTTTTTTTAATTTTTTCTATTTTTTATAAAATTTTTTGTATATGTATATATATTTTTATAGTTTTTTTATATTTTATTTTTTATTTTATTTATTTTTATATTTGTTGTTGCAAAATGGTCAGGCTTATCCCTTTATTGTTGTTTTTATAAAAACAACGTTTGTTTATTAGTGGAGAACGATGGTAATGTTTACCAGGGGGTAAGGCAGGGAATACCTAGGTTTCGGAAAGAGCCACCAATCCTCATCAGTTCCCTTGTTTTTGTCTGGGATATTCTCCCCAGAAGTTATTTTAAAAAATAACTTCTATGACAAAAAACATTTTTTACCCAAGTGACGAGATCGTAAGCTCAATAGAAGAGGAACCAAAGAATTATATAAAACTAAAATTCTTTTGGAAAGTCTTCTAAATCTTACAACCGCACTTATAAACATTTTCATCTTTCTCCACTTGTTATGCTTTCGTTCAACCTGAACGAAGTAGCATAACCATGTAAGTTGGTTTTGTCTGTTACAACAAAAACCCCTTCGTCGACCGTGCCTTGTCTATCAATAGAACAGTGTGGCTTGTTTGTTCGGGATACCGTAGTATTTTGTTGTTGCAAAATGGTCAGGCTTATCCCTTTATTGTTGTTTTTATAAAAACAACGTTTGTTTATTAGTGGAGAACGATGGTAATGTTTACCAGGGGGTAAGGCAGGGAATACCTAGGTTTCGGAAAGAGCCACCAATCCTCATCAGTTCCCTTGTTTTTGTCTGGGATATTCTCCCCAGAAGTTATTTTAAAAAATAACTTCTATGACAAAAAACATTTTTTACCCAAGTGACGAGATCGTAAGCTCAATAGAAGAGGAACCAAAGAATTATATAAAACTAAAATTCTTTTGGAAAGTCTTCTAAATCTTACAACCGCACTTATAAACATTTTCATCTTTTTCCACTTGTTATGCTTTCGTTCAACCTGAACGAAGTAGCATAACCATGTAAGTTGGTTTTGTCTGTTACAACAAAAACCCCTTCGTCGACCGTGCCTTGTCTATCAATAGAACAGTGTGGCTTGTTTGTTCGGGATACCGTAGTATTTTGTTGTTGCAAAATGGTCAGGCTTATCCCTTTATTGTTGGGTAAAAAATGTTTTTTGTCATAGAAGTTATTTTTTAAAATAACTTCTGGGGAGAATATCCCAGACAAAAACAAGGGAACTGATGAGGATTGGTGGCTCTTTCCGAAACCTAGGTATTCCCTGCCTTACCCCCTGGTAAACATTACCATCGTTCTCCACTAATAAACAAACGTTGTTTTTATAAAAACAACAATAAAGGGATAAGCCTGACCATTTTGCAACAACAAAATACTACGGTATCCCGAACAAACAAGCCACACTGTTCTATTTATTTTTATATATATATTTTTAATTTTTTACACAAAAATAATTAAATTTAAAAAAAATTAAAATTATTTTTTAATTTTTTTAAATTATTTTTTTTAAATTATTTTTTATAATTTTTTTTAATTGTTTTTATTTTTTAATTTTTAAATTACCTGAAACGCTGTAAATTGCACCATAAAGGCAAACGATATAATGCCAATATTTTTCAATATACGCCATTTTTCACCAGGATTCAATATAACTTTCTCTCTCAATGAGGCTGTGTCCGGTTCGAAACCTGGTTTTGGCTGCAAAAAAATAAAAAAAAAAATGAAAAACATGATTAATTGTTATGTTTTTTTTTTTTTATTTAAATTCTTAAATTTAGCTACACATCTATTTTTTCATGTCAAAATGTTAATTCAACTCATAAATCAAACGACTGGCTGCGCCAGCGAAACGAGGTAAATAAAACATTAAATGCTAATTCTTTTGCCTTTTCGAAAAGAAGAAGACAAAGAAATGTTGACATAATTAAATATTCAAATGACTTGTTTTAAAAAAACTTGTCATCTAAACACATTTTATTGGATTTCAAAAAAATGTGTGGTTTTATGGTAGCTTCTTTTCGTGTTGACTATACAAAATACCATTTACTAATTTATTGCTAAAATTTATGCAAAATATCGAAAATTCCCAAAATTAAAAAAATTAATGAATTTAATGTTGGCTGCCTGGCACATCTGTTTCAAAGGCTTGTTTTCTTTTTTGGGGCTACACATTTTTACATAATTTGAAAAAATGTGATTTTTACATGGAAATATTTGAAGTTTAAATCTATATTTGGTATTAAAAAATAATGTTTTTCTTTCTCTTTATAGGCTTCTTCAAGTCATGGCAGAGAAGGGGTGAGTAATTCAAATTTTAATAAAAAATTTTATTTAAAAAAAATTAATAATTTTAATAACAATTTAAGAGGTATTAGTTGGTTTTCCCGGTAGATGATGATACTTTCCTAGTCCGTTTATTTAAAAATATTTTCACTTGCGTTATAATTATTCGAAATGTTGCCCCTATATGGGGGTGGGGTTCCGAAGGAGTTGACCAATATTGTCCTTTTCGTATCTGAATTATTTTTGACATAAATATTACAACGTGCCACATTTGGACTATACTGTCTACTTCCTTCCTTTTCTCTATATGAGATATGTGACTTTTTTTTGGAAAATGCTGAAATGTGTGTGAGAAAAATCCGCTTCATCTGATTCGTATAAAAAAATTAAAAAAAAAATAAAGAGACCCGAAAATTTATTTCTAATTTATTTTCTCAAAATTTTAAACTTTTTTGAGGGAGGTATGAGAAGGAGTGGTCCGCTAAATTACACATTCACATCAGATCTCTGGCTGAGAAAAATATTTCCAAATTTCAAAAGAATCGCTGACTTGGTTCGAGTGTTTTGAGAGATATGGCTTTTGAAAATGATGCCCCTTTGTGAAGGAGGTAGCAGAGGGAGTGCACCGATATCTACCAACTTCACACCAGATCTTGTGTTGATAGAAATATTGGAATGTGTGAAGTTTAGAAAGAATCTGTTGCTTATTTCGCATTTTATGAATTATTCAAAATTTTGACCTGTTGTTGTGGGCGAGGTAGCAGAACTGGTGGTCCGATATATTCCATTTTCACACCAGATGTTTTGACAATAGAAATATTGGGATCTGTGGAATGTGAAAAGAATCCGATGTTCAATTCGTGTTTTATAATCTTCAAAATGTTGACCTCCTTTTTGGGGGAGGTACCGGTAAGGATGGACCGGTATTCCCCATTTTCATACCAGATCTCGTTTCAATAAAAATATTGGGATATGTGAAATTTGAAGAGAACCGGATGCATATTTCGCGTTTTATGAGCTCCATGGTTATTCAAAATTTGAACCCCTTTGTGGGGAAGGTACCAGAAGCAGTGGTCCGATATATCCCATCTTCACACCAGTTGTTGTGACAATAAAAATATTGGGACCTGTGGAATTTGAAAAGAATCGATTGCTTATATAGCGTTTTATGAGGGTTCGAATTATTCGAAATTTTGACTCCTTTGTGGGGGAGGTACTAGAAGCAGTGGTCCGATATAACCCATTTTCTATCCAGATCGTGTGTTAATAAAAATATTGGGATCAGTACAATTTGAAAAGAATCGGATGCTAATTTTGTGTTTTATTAGCTTCATGGCTATTCAAAATATTAACCCCTTTGTGGGGGAGGTACAGAAGGAGTGGGTCTGTATATCCCATTTTCACACCAGATCTTATTTTAGAAAAAATATTAGGAAGCGTGAAATTTGAAACGAATCTGATGCTTATTTCCCCCCTCAACTGGGGGGAGGTACCAGAAGGAGTGCACCGATATATCCAATCTTCACAGCCGGTCTTGTTTCAATAACAATATTGGGATGTGTGAAATTTGAAGTGAATCGGATGATTATTTCGCATTTTATGAGTATTTTCGTTATTCAAAATTTTTGAACCGTTGGTGGAGAGGGACCAGAAGGAGTGGACTGATATGGCCCAACTCCGAACTTCATCTAAGTTTGATGATAATATTACTATGTACCAAGTTTGGACCTAATCGGATACTCTCTTCGAGAGTTATCGTGCCCACCAGCCAGCCTCATGGACGAACATCCCTAGATCGACCCTGGAACGGTTTTGTTCAGAAGAGATCTACGGTCTAAATACGTTATTACGATGAGTCACGTTTTGGTCGTATCATGATGATGATGATATGTACCCTCTGTAGCCACATGGCTGATGTTGTATAAGATTTGACGTCATTATCTAACATGTATAACGAATTTGTCTGACTGCTAAATCACGATTTTGGTTTATTAATTTTATAAACAACGCGCTCCAAGTCCGAGGCATAAAAAACATGTTATTCATTTATATGACTTAGACGTGAAGTAATTGCAAACAAGTTTGAAATATTTTTTGGAAGGTATTCTAAACCCCAATTGCTGAGTGGGTACCCACAAAAATTCTCAAAGTATTTTTCTGTTGTTTTTGTTTTTTTTTTTTTTTATAATCATCAAATTGCTTAATTACATTATTACATTGTAATAATTATCAAAAATGAGCAATTTCCGCTCACAATCTTGGGGTACCAATCAATGATTAGAGAAATCATTAGTTTTTTGGTGAGCATGAGAGCGGAAGGGAGAGGGAGAGAGTTGTGATCATACATAACATAATCTCATGAAAAGATAATTAGTCTCAAATAAAAATAAAAATGCCTTCCCTTTTTGAAAAAATAATTCCAATTCAAATATTTTAAATCAATTTAAAATAAATTATTTTATTGGAAATATATATAAATATTTTGAATACATTTTGCAAATAAAAAACCAATGTTTCTATTTTTTCGAAATGAACTCATTTTGGGATTTTGTCAAAAACTTCATGTTAACCGGATTTTCGCAAAAAAAAAAAAAAAAACAAAGCAAGCGCCACAACTTGGCCACAAAATGAATGGTATGCGCACTATTTGTTTTTTTTTGTTTTAAAAATTATTGACACATTATTGTTGTTGTATTCGGTTTCTCTTTGTTGTGTATTTTTGAAATGTATATCACGTTTTATTCCAAAATTGTTGTGTGTGTTTTTTTTTTCTTACAGATCCCCAACAATGAGATATTTTAAGATTTTTAACAGCTTGTACCATTACACTTTATGAAGAGATATATTGTAATTTTTATCTTTTAATACAAAACCAAAAAAAAAAAAAAAACTCAACAACACACCTTTTGCACATAAAATGCCCAAAGCCTTAACAATAATTAATTTTGAACAAAAAATAAGTAAAAAAATAAATTAATAAAAAAATATATTTTTGGGTCAATATCAGGCACGAAATTTTCAGGGAAAATTTATTTGACCTCTAAAAAAATTTTTTTAATTTATATTAAAATTTAATACCTAGTATTGATTTTTTGAATATGATTGAAAACCGCATTTGTTCAGTTTTCATTAAAAATAAAATGCATTTGAAGTTCGCAAGCCGCTTTTTTGGTCGATAATTGGCTATTAAGGTTCACATTTCGAAAGAAGCCTCCATTCGAAATTTTTCAAAATTTAATAGATTGTTTGTTTTTTTAATTTTTAATGGTGAAGGGTAATGAAAGTTTGGCCTAGCTGATTTTTACAGGATTTTTAATTCACGTCACAAAAATCCCAGAAAAAAATGATTTTTATACCCTTACCCTTATGCCTACAAAGGATATATACGATGACCATGTGACCATAACGCGTCTCATCGAAATAACGTTTTTATGTCTGTTTCGGGGCATTTCGTGCGCAAGATAATTCTCAAAGGAATTATTCGATTTGTTCCAACTTGGAACATGGTAATAGTATTATTAATCTTAGATCGAATTCGGATATGGGCAATATCAGTCTACTCCTTCTTCTACCTACCCCCCCAAATGGTCAAATTTTCACAGAAAATAATTTACCCTATACAACAAGAAAAGATCATGCAATTTTGTGAAAACTTTGCAAATCCTAATATTTTTGTCAGTGCTAGGTCAGGTGCGGAAATCGACAATATTGGCCCACTCCATCATGTACCTCCCCCCACAAAGCGTCAACATTTTGAATAATTATAAGTCTAATATAATGGGAAATATGCATCCGATTCTTTTCAAATTTTGCACATCTCTATAATTTCTCCAAAACAAGATTTGGTTTGAAGAACGGATAGAACAGATCCCTCCTTGTGGTACCTCTCTCACAAAGGGATCAAAATTTTGAATAATTATAAAACTCATAAAACGCAAAATGAGCATGGGATTACTTTCATACTTGGCATATCTTAATATTTCTATTAACACAAGATCAGATGCGAAGATGGAACATATAGGCCCCCTCCTTCTGGTACCTCCCCCACGAAGGGGTCAACATTTTGAATATTTAAAATGCTCATAAAAAGTGAAATGAGCATCCAACTCTCTTGAAATTTCACACATTCCGATATTTCTTTTAGCACAAGATCTGGTGTAAAGGTTTAATATATAGAGCCACTCCTTCTTGTACCTCCCTCACAAAAGGGTCAAAATTTTGAATATTTAAAATGCTCATAAAGTGCGGAATTAGCATCTGATTACTTTTATACTCGGCACATCTCAATATTTCCATTAACTCAAGATATGGTGTGAAGATGGAATATATAGGTCCACTCCTTCTGGTATCTCCCCCACGAAGGGGTCAAACTTTTGAATATCTAATATGCTCATAAAATGCCAAGTGAGCATCTG